CTCTGTGTCTGTGTCTCTGTCTCCATCTCTGTCTCCTTCTGTCTCATTTCTCTGTCTCTCTCTGTGTCTGTGTCTCTGTCTCCATCTCTGTCTCCTTCTGTCTCATCTCTCTGTCTCTCTCTGTGTCTGTGTCTCTGTCTCCATCTCTGTCTCCATCTCTGCATCTCTGTCTCCGTCTTTATGTCTCTGTTTCCATCTCTGTCTCCGTCTATGTCTCTGCATCTCTGTCACCAGTGTCTGTCACCATCTCTGTCTCCATCTCTACGTCTCTGTCTCTGTCTCTATGTCTCTGTCTCCATCTCTGTCTCTGCATCTCTGTCTCCATCTCCGTCTGCATCTCTGTCTCTATCTCTGTGTCTCCCTTCCCTCACCCCCCAGCCCCACGCAGAGCAAACCCTCCGCATGTGGCCACTGTGGTCAGGATTCACAGTGATTCAGGAGGGCTGGGAGGAAGTTTACTCTCCCTTCGGGGGCACTAGTCACTTGGCCCAGGGCGTATGGAGACCAGGTGTTGGGGGAAGCGCACACACAGAGGGAGCCCGCTGTCCCCACGCCCTCTGAGGCCCCCACAAGGCAGCCCAGGCCACAGGGGGCCACAGAAGTCCTGCTGGGCTGCGAGCCACCCACTGTTTCCTGGAGGGGAACTTGTGCGCTGCTGGGCATCTGGCCTCTGCATCCCTGTGGAAGGAAGGGAATCCGTGTGACTCCTGGGTGGGGAGGGGAGGGGGAACGTGCTCCCAGCAAGGCCAGGTGTGCGAAGAGCCCAGGCCCGAGCCTGGGACCCCCCAGTGTCCCCTCTAGTGGAGGCTCCCAAGTGGCCTGCCCAGCATACCCCTTATCCTCTGCCCCAAGGATGTTCCGGCTTTCCTCAGAGCTCCCTCCAGCACCACCAGTCTGCTCACCAGGAGCTGCCGTGACATTTCCAGGTCATGCCTGCCCCCAGGCCCCAACACCCACCCCGCCACTAGCCTTTGCTCCTGGACTTCCAGCCGCCCATCATCGGCCGGGTGCTGTCTCCAAGGCAAGAGATGCAGGACACTCGTGAGGAGCCTGGCCACGGCCACAGCCACGGGCTCAGCCTGGAGCAGGGGTGTCGGGATGGGACGCAGGCTGGGTAGAGGGATGGGTGGGCCAGCCTCGCCCCGGGGCATGACTGGGAGGGAGCAGGGAGGGAGCCTCTGGGAGCCGATCCTGCCCTGAGGGGAAGAGAGTTGATTCTTGAAAGCTGAGGTCTCTGCTGGTGGACGGCCCTGCAGGCGAGGTTCAGACCTAGAGGCTTCTAAGCCAGCTGCCTGTGGTTCCATTTCCTGCTGAGGCGGGATTGCAGTGGGGTTTCGGGGGGCCTGGGGGCCAGCAGCCTCGTGCTTCTCCACTACGCTGGCCTGGCCGACTGCAAAGCACCTCACTCCCCACAGCTCAGAAGGGCCAGGCTCAGGGACCCGCGCCCACCCGGCCCCTCCGGGCATGGGCCGCTCTGCCCCCTGCCCCTCCCCTGGCAGCTTGGCAGGGAAGGAGACCCCTCGGCGGTCCCATCCAGCACCAGGACATCCTCCCTGGGGACCCGAGGCAACCCACATTACAGCTGAGTGTCCCCGCTTCTGAGTTAGGACCCAGAGTCCCACCCGTCTGGAGGCTCCGTGGGCTTTCTTCCCACCCCAGTGCCAAGCCCTGGCTGGAGTGGACGGCAGGTGCCTGGGGAAGGTTTGCTTTGCAGCTGTGTGGCCCTGGGCAAGTGGCACAACCTCTCTGTGCAAAACAGATTACACCTGCTCCACCTGCCGAAGGCAGGAACCAGTGAGCTCCTGGGAGATGAGCGCAGGGGTGTCCCTCATCTCTTGAGAGGCGGAACATGCTGGGTACCCGCTGCTTCCGGGGCGGGGCGGAGGGCGCCCACCTGAGCCTTCTGAATTCAGTTATATGAGGCTGTAGCTGACATTTCATTCCACGGCCCCAGTTATCTGTTTCCTAGGAAACAAGTGAGAGACGCCGACTCTCCAACCACACACACACACACACACACACACACACGCGCGCACACACACGCCGTGGCCGCCACCAAGACTAACAATTAACAGAAATACAGTAAATGTCAGCAGACGCTAAAAATAGTTTACGCGACGCACCTCGGGGGCTGCTCCCTGCCGCCTGGCGCCCCGGGGGCAGGGACGGGGACAGCACCTCTCCATGACACACTGCCACACTGCGGCCCGGACACACCTCTGAGCCGGGGCGGGTGGGGGGGGGGCTGCTGGTCCGACTCTGCAACACACCACCTGCCTCTCTCCCACCTCCAGCAGGATGAGACCAGAGGCGTGCACGGATGCTGTCCTCCCAGCCCATCCCCCCACTGGGCACCACCACCGGGACCCTGCCCGCCGTGTGTCTGGCACCCGTGTTCCCGTTGTCCAGCCCCTCGCACCCCGAACACACGGGGCGCTCCGGACACCTGTGCTGCCCCCACATTCCCTGTCCAGCGCAGCTCAAACCTGGACCCCTCTCTGCCGGCGGGGCAGCCATCCTGCACTCCCGGGCTGACCTGATGGGCTTTCTCCGCCCCCCCCCCACCCTTTGCTCTCACCTCCCTCCCAGCGATGACAGCAGCAAACAGGTGTGCTCACTGGGCTGCGGGCATCGTGCGGGGAGCTGAGCTGCCTTAACAGAGACAATATAACGTGTGTGTGCCGTCGGCTGCTCTGCTTCCCGGGAGCTAGCGGGGGTGGCGGGGGTGCTGGGCCCTGGCCCTGGGCCTGAGGCGGGTCCAAGTCACCTGCACCCCACAGTGGGGCTTCCGGGGGTGCTCCTCGGGGCCCTGTCTGTTCATGCTTTCGTCCCAGGACCAGAAGAGGGCTTGATAACTTTCTGGGAGCGGAATACAGACACACAGCCCTCAGAGGGAACCCGCGTCCCAGAGGCGGTCCCCCGTGGTGCTTTTGCCTTCCTCCCAACACACCTGATGGTTTAAAACTGGCTTTTTTGCAATTTGTTGACAAATCAGGTTTTGCTTCCTTCCTACGATATCCTAAGTACAGGCTCTGTTCCATGCACAAAGCCTGCCTTAGTCGAGTTTGAAAATGTTAACTGGAGTGGCCTTCCCGGGTCCCAGTAACGAGTCTGCACCTGGCTGGTGTGGCCGTGAGCACCCGGCCCGAGAGCCGGACAGAGAGCCGCACAGACACCCTGGTGACCAGAGTTGTCTTCTTCTCGGTGCAGCATTACTTCACCGTTAACTTCAGCCACGAGAACCAGAAAGCCCTGGAGCTGAGGACGGAGGATGCCAAGGATTGTGACGAGTGGGTGGCGGCCATCGCTCACGCCAGGTACGTCTTGGCCACCCCACCGTCACCGCCAAAGGGGTGGAACACAGGTCCCTGCCCAGAGCAAACCCAGGCCCCAAGGGGGAGGGCGGGGAAGGGAGGAAGGGAGGGGAGAAGGCGAGCTGTAAGGAGGGTTCTTGGCAGGGGTCCCCTCGGATCCCAGAGCTCTGGGTCTGTGCCACCCTCTGTGCCCCCAGGAGCAGGGAGACCGGAGGAGCAGCCTCCCGCCAGCTTCAGTGCACCGGCTCCTTCCTTTCCAGTAGAGGAGCTGAGCCCTATTTGGTTGGGGTCAAGGATTTTATGGCTACCAAAGCCTAAGCCCGGGCTCCAAGCCAGCTGAGCCACGGATCTGCGGTGTGACCATGAACAGCTCCTATCTCTCCTCAGAGCCTGTTTCCTGTTCTACAGAGGGAAATCTCTCAACTTCTCTGAGCTCAGGGGTTCTAGAGCTCCTCCTCATTCCCCGCAGGTCATGCCCCTCCCTGGAGGGGCCAGACAGAGAGAAAAGCGAAGAACTCTCCGTGTATGCTGCAGAGAAAACGGGGCCCCACCGTGGATTGAGTCTTCTGGGTCGTGGGGAGGTGACAGGCTTATAGGCTGGGGTATGGCTCCACAGCTGACAACCCCCTGACAGAGCCAAGTCTCATCCAAGGGCAGGGACCCCCAGAGTCACCCCTCTCAGCAGGTGATCTCTCCAGCTCAGTGCAGAGTGGTGTGTCTCTGCGTCTGTCTGCTTGTTAAGTGTAAGGTCCTGAGGGCAGAGACCAAGTCTGATTCTTTGGGTCCCCAGGGCTTACAGGGGCATGAGCAAGTGGACCAGGAGAAATCAAGGATGAATGAACGGACGAGGATGGATGCAAGGTTGGGTGCTGAATGGAAGGTGAAAGATGAATGAATGGAGGGTAGACAGACGATAAATGGATGTGTTTCGAGTATGTGTGATGGTGGATAGATAGTAATGAACGATGCATGGATGGTGTGTGTGTGAGTGGACGGTTGGATGGATGGGTGGGTGGGTGAGTGAGTGGATGGGTGGATGGATGGATGGATGGACGGATAGATGGTTGGATGGATGGATGGACAGATGGATGGATGGGTGAGAGGATGGATGGATGGATGGACGGATGGATGGATGGGAGGATGGATGGATGGGTGGGAGGATGGATAGATGGATGGATGGATGGATGGATAGATGGATGGATGGATGGATGGATGGGTGGGTATGAGTGGGTGGATGGATGAGTGGGTGGGTAGTGGATGGGTGAATGCGTGGGTGGGTGGATGGGTGGGTGAGTGAGTGGGACAATGGATAAATGTATAAATGAATGGGTGGTAAATGGATGCATGGGTGGGTGGGTGGATGGATGAATGGAGGGATGGATGGATGGGTGGGTGGATGGATACCAGGGTCCTTCTTTGAGCCCTGGAACAAACCAGCTGACCAGAAACCCTTTATGATGGCCATAGCACTATGACCTCGAGGTCAGGCCATGTCCTTCCCTGTTCTCAGGGAGTATCCAGTCCAGCCATGGAGACCTGGTACTCACACATGAACTTATAGAGTCAGGCTCTGACTGTGGTGCTGGGCAGATAGGGATGGGTGCAGGTGTCCCCCAGGGACATCATGTCCACTTCGGAAGACATTAGACGTGTTCACAGCTAGCTCTTGTACACAAAGGCCCTGGTAGGTACAAGGCACCATGGGGGAGAGACACTACTTCCATCTGCAGGGAAATGAGGGAAGCTGGATACAGGGTGACATTTGACCTGAGCCAGAGGACCAAGGGCGTAATGGGTTTAACTATGAGTGCTTTGGCCCCCAGCCCCAGTCCCACCCCCAAGGCACTGATGTACAAGAGAGACTTCCAGGATTAATGAAGAGATAAAGTGTGGGTTTTGGAAGGTGACGTGTAATCGGGTCATAACGGGTCTTGAACACCCAGCTGGGGAGTTGGGCCTTTAATCTGTGAACAGTGGGAGCTATCAAAGCTTTTATACCAGGAGAGTAACACCATCAGAGCTACAGTTTTGAGTGGAAATTGTCAGCGTTGTGCAGGATGGATTCACGGTGGAAGAACCCAGACTCAGGAAGAGCCGGTGGGCCTCCGTCCCCCCACCAGGAACCAAGAGCAGGGCTGTTCTGAGAACCACATGAGTCTGCTGACGGGGAGGGGCTTTCTACGTGTTGAAGCGGTGCAGAATGCAGAGTTCTAATCGGTTGTACATTCTGAGGACCAGGACTGCACTGGTTTAGAAAATACATTGATACCAAAATGTTTCAGAGACCGTGTGAGACCCGGGAGTCTCACCTGGCGGAGGTGACAGAGACCCAGCAGAGGCCCGGCTGGGGTGGGGCCCCGTAAGGCACACACGCAGGCAGGCGCGGAAAGTGGCTCAACCACTTCAGACTGTTAGACTGTTGCTTAAAAAACTGAGCCGTTTAAAGATTGCTAGGCCGGCTCTGTGACCAGCGACGTCAACCTTTCGGTGTTTATCTGAGAGAAGCAAAACTATCCATGACCGATCCTGTGCACACAGCTTTGTGTATAATCGTCCCGACTAGGAAGAGCCGAGGTGTCTGTCGCAGACAGACAGACGTGCAGACAAGCCCTGGTACATCCAGGCGACAATACCGCCCAGCACCGGAGAGGCGCCCGCCCCAAACACGTGTCACAAAACGCTGAACATCAAAGTCAGCGTGCCGAGGAGGAAAAGCCAGATGCAAAATAGGGCACGCCATCTGAGTCCAGTGACGCAAAATTGTGTCACAGGCACAGCTCGCTTGTGGCGAAGGACTCTGAGCCGGAGTCGCCTGTGGGGTCAGGCTTGTGGGGGGGATGGAAGGTTCTCTCTCCCAGGTGCGGTATGCGCAGATCAAAGCCCATCACCGTCAACCGTGCGCTTTTCACACCTGCACCTTCCAGTCTACACACATTAACCTCAAATTTTAACGCAGGGTTCTGCAGCCCCAAACCTCCGACCTCCCCCTTCTGTGACCAGCAGAGAAAACCGCATCTCAGATGCTTCAAGTGATTAGGTCAGGCCCACCGAGATCATCTCCCCATCTTCAGGCCCACTGTGTCCTGTAGCACCACGGAGGAGCAGGGGCGGAAGCACATCAGATCTGTGGTCCCAGGGATTTGGAGCGCTTGCACCCCGGCGCGGGAGAGGCCGTCCTGGGGCTGACTTACACGCTCTGTGTCGCTAGAGGGAAAGCGCAGACTGTGAGCCATATGTAGCCTCAAGCCCAGTCCATCATGAGTGTGCGTGAGTGTGAGATATGTGTGTGGGTCAGGAGGGAGCCTGGCTCTGTTCCACGGCTCTGTTGAGCAGTGAGCAGTGTTGCCGAACCTTATTTGGTTTCTCTTTGCATTTACGTACTAGATACGTTGTACGTACCGAGGCAAGCGCCGTGGGGTCTACAGCGTGCCCCTTGCCCGTGTGTGCACCGTCCACACTTCAGGGAGGGCACAGGGTGTGAGCCGAGCAGCTCCCACTGTCGGGGCCTGGAGCTCTGTTCTAGCTCCAGCTGCCGCTCTCCCAGACTCATTTAGGGGAAGGCACGTCCCCTCTTGGGCCTCGGTTTCTTCACGTATAAAATGAGGCCGTGGGTCTTCCATGGCTCCCAAGTTCCCGTCCAGCTCTGAGTCTGAGTCTCGAAAGGCAGTGCTGCCCAGAGAGGTGCTTGGTACCTCGTTACTGGAGGAGAGGGTGGGGGAGGTGGGCTGCCCGATCGGCTGCCCAGGAGACCCTGCTCCACGCCGAGCACCAGCGTCCGTGACAAACCACCCGAGTCTCGGATTTCCACAGCCCTGGAGTGCAGAGAAGTGCGGCAGCGTGAAGACAGACCCCACCGTCTCTCCACTGAGTTCCCTTTGCAAGCTAAGAGAACAGAGCCTCTTGGGAAGTGGGAGAAACTTCGAAACCTAATATTCTCGTTCACACTCATTCTCGTATGGGAGCCAAGTCCTCGTCTTCGGTGAATGGTCCTGCCAAGCAGAGTCCACTCTCGCAGCCTCACTGACCTTTAGATGGGGGGCGACGGGGGAGGCCGGGACGGAGCTTTGATGTTGGGGTCAGGACCCTCCCCAGGGATATGCTCCAGGTCCACCATGCGCCCTGCTCCCCCCGCCCTGTCCACCCGCCCCACCACCCCCTGCTGCCGTCAGGCCAGCAGGAACCAGCCTCCTCCGACCCCGTCAGGGGACCAGGCTTTCTCAGCCTCCCAAGGGCCCCCACCCCTGCCTCCGTGCGAGGCTGTTCCCACGCACGGCCGCCTGGGCTCCCATCATTGAGGCTGAGAGCACATGTGTGCAGCTCCTGAGCCGGTGACGAAAGCCAGCATTGCTAGCCCGGTGCCCACTGACCAGCCGCGTCCAGGGCCACCAGAAAGCCATGTAAGAAGATGCCAGACGGGAAAGTGTCCCCTCGACTGAGCACATGGGGAGCCCATGGATGACCCCCGACAGGGACCCCACTGCTGTGGGTGCCAGCCGCCTCCCCTGGCTACCCCAGCCTAGGAGCAAGTGGGGGGACAGATGTGGGGATGAGTGAGGACAGGCTACTCTCTGAACAACCCTTGCTGCATGGGTGGGAGGGGGCTGGGTTTGTCCCTCACGTGGAGGGACTCAGGGCTCCCCACATGCCGAAGAGAGACAGCCCGTGGGACATGGACCGCTGCTGATACTGAAGGGACAGGCATTCAGGGGTTCAGGATGGAGCGAGCAGGGCCTCCGCCCTCTGACAGGAGGGGGGCCAAGGTAATCCCAGCGCGAATGCGTCACGTGTGCTGAACTGTCCCTCACTGGCACAGACCCAGGTCACAGATAAGCAAACTACGGCACGAGTTGCGGTCCCTGGGCTACTGGGTGTGCGAGGGAGTGAGCGAGGCCGGGCCCGGCAAGCGGACTGGGTCTGAGGACCGGGCTTCCACCAGAACCCGCGCCCGCAGGGCAGGGCGGCCGCGACGGGGAGGGGTGCAGGCGGAAGCAGCTGGGGAGCGAGATGGTGACGTGGCAGCTGCGAGGCGGAACACAGCCACCGGCGGGGTGGGGGGCGAGGCCGGAGAGCCGTGGAGGTGGAGGGGAGGGCTCTGGCCGCTGAGGTTGGAGGCCAGAAACCGGGGGCCGTGAAGCCAAGGGTGGGAGGAGGTTGGGGACACGGGCAGGAAGGGGAAGGGAGGCTTCCGAGGGCACCAGGGAAGGGAGGGGAGGACGGGGTCGGTGAATGGACGGGTGAGTGAGGGGCAGGGTGGGCTTTCCCTCCAAGTCCCTGCCCGGCTTCCCCGATGGGCCCCGCTGAGCGCTTCCCTTGCGAAGCCCGTGGGCCCTCCTTTGCGGAACGGTGTTTCCCCAGCTCTGACGCCGCCAGTGGCCCTGCCTGTGCTGCGGGGTGTCGGGGAGAACCCTGGCCCAGAACACAACTGACCCGGCTCCCCCCCAGAGGCCTGGAACCCGGCTGGTCTTCCAGGTCGCCCCCAGCTGTGATGCCCTGCAAGTCTGAGGCCTGTTAACATACACAGTGCTGGGCTCTCTCTTCTGCCCTTTGCTTATCCTTTGGGGGGCCCTCTGACCTGGCTCCCCTAACCCTCCAGCCTTGTTGCCAGTCTCCCCCAACACAAGCCTCCTGGCCAAGGCCACCCTTGGACGGGTGTGTGCCCAGAGCCCTGGGTCTGGCTTCAGAGACCTGGGCTGTGGGACACCCCCATGGTCTGGGTCGGAGAAGACAGCATGGCAGCTGGAGCCAGAGCCAGCCCAGGAAAGAGGCAGGGGGAATGGGCTTCAGACAGAAGATCCGCCTGTGCAAAGGCCCAGGGGCCTCGGTGGGTGAGAGCGGCCCCCAAGGGACCCACAGGTCCGAGTGCAAGACGGGAGCTGGCAGGGAGTCCTCAGGCACTGTGTGCGGCAGCGGGACCTTCTCTGGAGTCCCGCTGCTGGGGGTCCCACCTGGGCCTGGACCTGCGGATCTGAGACCCACAGTGTGGTAACCTGCATGTCCACTGCCCGCAGCTACCGGACACTGGCCACAGAGCACGAGGCGCTGATGCAGAAGTACCTGCACCTGCTGCAGATCGTGGAGACGGAGAAGACGGTGGCCCAGCAACTGCGGCGGCAGATCGAGGACGGCGAGATCGAGATCGAGCGGCTGAAGGCAGAGGTGACCACCAGCTGGGCCCCGGGCCCCCCCACGGGCTCCTGGAGGGGCAGGGCGTGGGGACACATGATGGGCAGAGCGGGATGGTGCGCGGTCAGATGGGGGTTCAAATCCCACCTCTGCCCCCAAGCCCTGTGCCTCAGTTTGTCTGTCGGTGAGATGGGTTTTTTGTCCTCACGTGGCAAAGCTGTGAGGTTGGTGCAAGCTGATGGGCGAGCTGCAGAGCGCCGTGCCTAGGGCCACGCTGACTAAGCATTCAGCATCACTGGCCAGCACGGCAGGGGTGCGGGGCCCCCGGAGGGTCGGGGTCCAGGCAAGGGCTCTCTAGGCTGCCGTCTAGGGGCTGCGCTGTCGTCAGGCTGAGCCCACTGGGGCCATGATACTGAGCATGTCCATGAAGCCGTATTTCCCGGACCTCCGCGCCGACCTCCAGAGTTGGAACCAAACTGTCCCGGCCTCCCGAGCAGCTCCCTCGACGGGAGAGCGGGCAGTGCTCTCCGCCCCGTAGGCGCCCCTGCCAGCCGTGTGCCCAGCACAGAAGGACCTGACCCCTCGCCCCACGGCGCACGTGGCACCATCTGGCCATGTCGCCCCAGAGCCGTGGGCTCTGCACTGAGGAGGGGAAGGGGAAGCATGGGCTCGGCTGGCAGACTCCGCCGAGTAATTTCCAGGCCCAACGCAAGGGAAAACGCAAGGCTGCGGCCGGGCTGGGGAAGTCACCCCCGTCCTCACAGCCCATCACCCCAACCCATGGCAGGCAGGTGACCCGCAACTTCGACCCCCACAACCTAGGCACTGGGGTGGGGGTCACCCACCGAGTGCACCCTGCTGTCTCGCGCCCTTCCCTGAGACGCCGCGGATGCGCCCTGGACCCCCCTCACACCCACGCTGGGGCTCCCTCAGGTGGAGTCCAGTGCCCCCGCCGATGCCAGCCTGTAGCCCCCGGACAGAGGGCAGCTGTGGGGGTGGGGAGCGGGCAGCGGGAGCCCGTCCCGGGGCTGGCGAGTGAGAGGGAGAACACGCAAGCTAGGGCCCTGGGACCCTGCGCTGTGCTCCTCTGTCCCACCAGACGTCACTTACAAAACAGAAAATTCTAAGAGAAAAGCACTAAGAATTTCAGGGTGGAAGCCTCGGAGCTGGGAGCCCCAAACGTGGGTCCCGTCCGGCGCTCGTGAGGCCGGCTCTGCCCGGAACGGTCAGACCGGAAGTCACCAGTCCTGCCGTGTTGCTCCGTTGCAAAGCTGCACCGTCCCCTCGGGAGCTCAGGTTCAAGCAGACACCAGAACTCTGCACACCTCCTCTGGTCCTGCACTGGGCACCTCAGATGGGCCTCCCCAGTCCGCCCTCGACCACCCCAAGAATATCCAGGCTCAGCAGGCCGCCCGCCAGAGCTCCCACAGCTGGGCGGGGACTGAGGGGCGAGCTGGGACGGGAGCCCGGGGCTGTCTGTCCGCTTGTCAGTCTTTCCCCTCTGCTCGCAGCTGCAGGACAGGAGCTTGTCCCGCCTGTGAGCACCTGCTTCGTTCTGGCATCTCGCCCAGCCCAGCACACATCCCCGAGTCCGGGCTGCACCCGTGAGGAACCGGGGGCCTGGCCCGGCCCCACGTAATTGGCTTTATGAGCCAGGATGCCCCGGGAGCCTCTCACGCGCTCACTCCGCCTGCAGCCCCCTGAGCAGCGCCCACGGCCTCATCCTCTTCCCCGGGCCTCCTCCTGTCCCCCGCGCTCCAGCCAGAGCTGGGAGCCCTGGGCCCCGTGCCCCCGTCAGTTGTCCCACCTTCCTGCCTCGTGGAATCCTAGCAGGTCCCACGCCTCCTCCCAGGCCCCTGCCCCGGCCGGGGCTGCTCACTGCCCCTGCTCCCACGACGTCTCCGCCCCCGTCTGCCTCATCAGAGCCGATTCCGCACCGTCCGCCACCCCACCGACCTGGTGGGGGCCCCTGGGGGGCCAGACTGCCCTGGTTCTCCCTCCTTACGCCTGGCACGTGGTATGTGGTCAGTGAATATGTGGGCCTCACGATCCGAGCTGGCCCAGAGGGACAGCCGTGCCTACCGCCGGGGTCTGTCTGGGTGCGATGACATCAGCATTGTGCTGGACTCGCGGCGCGGACCCTGGCAGGAGCGAGCTCTTCTACTGCTGGGGAGGCCGTGGGTTCACGTGGCGTACAGCCTGGGAGGTTTCAGGGACGAGTGTGCGAGAGAAGATGGGGGCTGCGGGGGTGCCCTGTGTCGCTAGGGAGCAGAAGGCAGGTCAGTTGTGTGTGTGTGAGTGTGTGAGTGTGTCGGGGGCAGGAGAAGCCAAGTCGGTGGGAATTTGGAGCAAGTGTCCGCCTGAATGCGTTACAGCAGGGCAAGAGAGCCTTTAAAGAAGACCGAGAAAGAAGATGGTCTTCGTGGAGCTCTCGGGCTGTAGTCTCTGTGTCGCACGCACACACACACACCCCTGCGGGGCAGGTGGACACAGCCTGCTCCAGGAAGTAGGCCGTGTGGGAGGCAGCAGGCCTTGGAACGTGACTGCTGGAGGGATCTGAAGACGCTGAGGGCCACCGCAAAGGGAGGAACTTATGCAAGGTTGCTCCAAGGTCACCTGAGGGATGGAGTCCCTCACGGACTTGGGTCTCCTGGCTCCAGACCCTCGGCCCCGCGCCTACTCCTGGGAGCCAGATCTGAGGAAAGGGGGTGTGGTTGCCAACCACAGTGTCGCCTGGATGGCCCCGAGCCCCCACGGTCCCCCTGCCCTCCGCTAGCCAGACCCAGCTGCTCGAGCCTGTCCCTCACGTCCCCGAGGACACGCAGGGGCTCGCCTTCTGCCCTCCCCCTGCACTGCTCGGTACCCGCGGGAGACCACCTTGTGCGTCTGTCAGGGTGACGGGGTCCTCGCCGCAGGGGCTTCAAGCAGCAGGGGTTGCTTCTGGCCTCACGCGGGGTGTCCACTGGGGGCCTGCTCCCCAACGCTCGCTCGGAGTCGGGGACACAGCCGGCAGGCCCCCCGGGCTCACACGCAGGGAAGGGAACTGTGAGCGAGGCTCACCGCGGCTCACGCGACCGTGGACCCAGCACGTCCCAGGACCACGCCCACGCTCCAGGGGCTGAGAAGCACAGTCCTGCCTCGTCTGTCTGAGGAGGAGAACCAGAGTCCACAGAAGCCGTAACGACTGCCTGACTGTACCTCCCGCTTCCATCCCCCGACACGGGCTCTTGTGCACAACGTGGAACAGATGTCCCGAAAGGTGTGGACCCAGCAGGGGCGGCTTCCAGAGCTGAGTCGGAAACCAGCTTACACATAGGACACACCCCCGCCCTCACATCCCCGGCCCTTCCTACCGTAGGAGTATCTCACTGGGACCCCACGCGGCGGGGTGCACGGGCGCTGGCTCCTCACGGCCTGCAGGAACCCACCGGCTGACCTTCAGGAGTTCTGCGGGCTGCTCGCTCGACCTGTGGCAGCTGGCTGTGGGCCCCGGTGCGACTGCCCACCATGAACTTGGCAGGTGCTCTCGGCCGGGTCTTTCCTTCAGAGAGCCGGTCGCTAGCATTTCACGGTCTCCTTTTCTTCAGGCCCCGCTGCATAATCGGCCGGTGGGGCACAAGGAAGAGCCCAGGACCCTCAGAACAAGCCCTCCGCCAAACCTGGGCCCGCGCGGGTCTGGCTCAGCGCGGGTCACGCTCCCAGTCACCAGCCCCGAGGCTGCAGCCTGTGTGCCCCGCGGCTGCCTCTCCCTGTGAACACACGAGATCGCTCCCGAAGGAGGTCTGCCCCGTACTGTGCGCCCCGCTCTCCGGCTTGCCCGACAGCAGCCCATCAGGCCCCGTTTCTTGTCACCACACCACTGGAGACCTAAAGCAAAGGGGCATCCACCTCTGAGAAGACGCGTCCGCTCTGGGTGTGCCGCTCGCTCAGCAGCATCTGACTGTTTCAGCAGTGACCCTGCTCTGGTTGGGGCCCAGAGGTGAACGTGCAGGGGTGAGGCAGGCCTGGCAGGGGAGGGTGGGAGCATAGACGCAGCGCTAACATGTCATTGGCTTGGAGCGCCTGGAGTCCTAGAGCCTGACTCTGGAAGGGAGCGGCGAGAACGTCAGTGCAGGGTTTAGATCAGTCCTGCAAAACAAGTTTGCTGCGATCCCGGCACGGAAGGTAGAGCAGCGAGGAGACCGCTCTGGAGGGCCGGGAGAGTGCAGCGGGCCTAATGTCCAAACCGGGCTGCACCTGCGCGCCTGGAGGCTTGCCTCCCGTGTCCCCTGGGGCCGTGTCCTGCCCCTGCTTCCCTGGCACACCATGTCCTGTGTGCCCCGTGGCTCCATCCACAGCATCCCCTCCACTGGAAGTCCTCTGTCCCGTAGCCCTCCTGTCGGACTCCTGTTCATCCTTTGAAACCTCTTGCGGAAGGCCCTTGCTGCTTCCCTGGCGAGGCCCTCCCACTGCTGTGGCTGCACATCTGCTCTGGCCTTGTCCTATTGGGCTGTCTGAACCCCTTGTTAGTCCGGGAGCACGTCCAGGGAGGGGTCTGGTGCCTCCACCTCCAGCTGCGTCTCGCCGGAGCCCAGCACAGAGACATCACCAGGACATGTGGACCAGGTTGGCCCAGGAGGATGGAGATGGGCACCTGGATGGCTTGGAAGAGACCAGAGGGGATCAAACAGGGAGGAGAGGAGGCTGGGCCATGTGCCAGCTGCTTGAATGCAAGGAATACAGAGATCTTTAGCCAGCCCTGGGCTGTTCACAAGAAGGAGCACCCGAATAAATTCCCCGCCAGCCGCTGCGCGGACTGGGTTCAGGATTAAAGATGGCATCTCAGGGATGGTGGGCAGCAGCCAGAGCTCAGTGCCCCAAAGCAGGGTGGCAGCGAAGGTTTGCCTGTGACGGGCCGAGAAAGACTGACCGTGGGTGGCAGGTGGGCAGGGGCCCGCCGAGATGCCAAGCGCGGAGCCAGGATGGGCAGCCAGTGCCGGACGCCAGCCAGGGGGTCCGGCAGGAGCCAGAGTGCCCGCTCCATCATTGACAAGGGTCTACTGAGCCAGCCCTGGGTGCCAGCCGGCGAACCGGGTACAAAGCCAGTCCCCCCAACAGAGGGCACCTGCTGGGTTTTGAGAAAAGTGGCTGGTGGGAGCTCCGTGGGGCTGGGGCTCCGGCCACCTCCCGAAGCCCACTCCTGGCACAAGGGAGCCATGGCCTAAGACCCCAGCACCCCGGAGTCTACCCACCCAGCAACCTCCTTAAGTGGGGCCTCCAGGGCTTGTGGCGCTGCCCAAGCACCGCGCCTCACGTCTGACCTAGTTGCATCTATTTTTCGCCCCAGTCCCTGCTGAGGACTTGTCCCAGAACACCTCTCTCTGAGAAGGGCGCCATCAGATCTAAACTCTGGCCGCACGCACACACACACACACACACACACACACACACACACACACACCACCATTGCGAAGAGAAGAGGGTTTCGGTGTGCAAAGCTGGGGGGATGCTGACCGTGCATCTCCACGTTCCTCAGCTAAGAGTCTGCCTGTGCACGTGTGCGCGTGTGTGCGCGCGTGTGTGCACGTGTGCCCCTCGGCCCTCTGGAGCACAGAGTCTGCCTTTATGTCAACCTGCAGATGTTCTCAGAATTGAAAAAAACCCAGGGTGGGGGGAGGGGGAGACGTGAGAAAGCAGAAAGCTCTGCGCCGGCCGAGCGCTGCTCAGATGTTTTCAGCTGCTCTGTGAGCATCACAGGGATAATTTTAGCAACCAGGGGAGTGGAGAGCGGGGAACTGTTCCATTTTGCTTTCAAAGTGCTCGATTGTGAGAGCCCATTCATTCTGCAGTTCGGCAAGTGGCCTTGAGAGGACAGAGCCGCGTGTTTTGCAGCGCCAGCCGGCTAGGCGGCGGCGTCTGGAGGCTCCCGAGCTGCTATCTTTAGCTGTGCGAGGCCCGGCGGGGGCAGCGTGCTCCTGGGGGCCAGCTCCGTGGTGCTGCTGTTGCCCAGGTTCTCCTGGAATTCGCGTCTGTGCCGAGCACGCAGGTGTGTGCCGAGCACCAGGCCCTGGCGAGGCTCCGGGAGCAGGTGGACAGGAGCGGCAGGCCAGGCTGGAGGAGCGGGCAGGTGGCACCTGCTCGGAGCGGCAGGGAGAGCGCGGCCCGGCTGTCCACTCAGGGAGGCCCAGGGGACCCGCCACCGTGTGGCCCGGGGCACCCCTTCTCCTGGGCACCACCCCTCCGTTCTGTCCCTGAGGCTGTGCTGGACTCTGATGCCCACATCAGACGACAGGAGGCTTTCCAGGCCAGCGCAAGCGCTCCTCCCCACGGCTGGCCCGTGTTTCTAGGCCGGCAGTGTCCACAGGGGGCTCCAGGGCAGAGAAGGGCTTCCGGGCAGCCCGGGGGGGAGGGGAGGCCAGGCTAGAAGAAAAACTCTGCATTTCTCTGATTCCAGCAGTTTTGTCTGAAAAAATAAGGGACTGCCCAAGTGTCCGTTTACAGATGAAGGGATTGCAAAACGGTATGTAAATACCATGAAAAATTCCCCGGGCCTAACAAGGAAGGCCTGGTGACACCCGCGGCAGCGTGGGCAGAGCTGGAGGGCCATACCTGCACCAAGTGGGATTCCAGTCCTGGAATGAGGTCGGAGAGGAGTCAAGTTCATAGTCAGAAAGTCGAGGGGGAGCTAGGGCGGGGGGGCTGGGGGGGGCAGGGAAACATTGTTTCGTGGGGACCGAGAAACATTGTTTCATGGGAAGAGATGGGAAGTTCTGGAGATGGATGGGGGGATGGTGGGCACATATTTTAATGCCACTCAGCTGTGCACCAAATGGGTGAAAATGGTTAAGTTTGAGGTTAGCTTGCCAAAGTTAGAAACAAAGGGGCTGATGGTTTGGGGCAAAGGGAGGAGTACCACAGACTGAGGCTTCCTGGGGTGCCAGGGGCACACAGCCCAGGGCGCCGGGGCTCCCAGTCCAGGGCTCCCTCACTGTCTAGCCCTGCAGCCTCGCACAGAGCAGGGGACACATGCCGCAGGGCCCCTGGGGCAGGTGGCAGGGCGCTGGCTCACCCCTGCGACGCACGTCTCCGTTACAGATCGCATCCCTGCTCAAGGACAATGAACGTATCCAGTCCACCCAGACCACCACCCCCAACGATGAGGACAGTGACATCAAGAAGATCAAGAAGGTCTGTGCCAGCCTTCCTAGAGAGCCTCCTGGCACTGTCACCCCCGTCGCCCCACCCCCAGGGCAGGCCACCCCCACCCCAGCCTGAACAGGTGCCCTGAGCAGCACTGTCGGGCGGGTTCTCCGAGCTGCCCGGGGGTCATGGCTCCACCCTGTTTGTAGGTAGGACGGGCTCCAGAGCAGAAGGAACCCAGATTGCAGGCTGCAGTGCGGGATTTCTCACACCACGGGACAGGCCCTGAGGACCCCCTGCCCCCACCCCACTGACACGCCCCCCCCTCCTCATGCAGACCCTCTCACAGCTGCCCCCTCTAGTCCCACACACACCTCGGCAGAGGAGCCTCTGGTCCCCTGAGCTGTCCCTGCTGGTTTGCTCCGTGAGAGTCCAAAGGTCGTAGGAGGCCCTGGGGACCCGCCCAGTGGCCAGGGTGCCAACCAGCACCTTGGACCAGCCAAGGGCAGCACAGGGAAGGGACATGTGTGCGTGTGCAGGCTGCCAGGCTTGAAGCCGGGGAGCCCAAGTTACCCTAAGACAGACCGGTGAAACCCAACAACCCTGCACGTGGAGGGGGGCAGAAAGCCCCCGGTGTCCCCAGACCAGAAACCGCACACGGGCGTCCCCCGGGCCGAGTTCAGCCTCCCAGCATGTTTGGGGTTTTGAGCCCACACAGTGTGTTTTTTGTTCTTTTTAATTTGTTGCCAGTGCTTTAAAAGCTAAATATTTCCCATGAAAATCTGGATTTTGTTTCTCAAAAATAGAAATAGCTAACATTCATTAAGCACTTTCTATGTGTCAGACACTATTCTAGGAGCTGTACACAGATTAATTCATTCCTAACTGAGAACCCTCTGGGGTTTCATTATTATCTGCGTTTCACATACGGGGAGACTGAGAGGCAGGGAGGCAAAGGGACTTGCCCAGGTCACACAGTTCGGCGTTTGCACGTGACGCTAAGCCCCAGCCACCCAGCTCCTGAGGCACGTCCTCCGGTGCCCGGACACAGGACCTCCTGGAAAACACGAGGAGGCACACCCCAGGGCCCACCTCCCACACAAACCCCATTAGTCCCAACGGCCGGCCTCCTGCATCTGGAGGACCCGCCAGGCCCCCATGGCCCTTGGAGTTTGCCACCAGGTCCCAGCGAGGCCCCACCCTCGCAGGGGTACCCGGGCTCTCCCTCTGCCCTGTGGCACTACTGGGTTTCCCAGCCACGACTGAAGCCCTTCTCACTGGAACATTGTAAGTACCCGCTGAAATCCTCCTCCGTCCCTCGATTCTCACCGTCCTGGGGCCTCAGGGCAAGTGCTCCCTCATAGAGAGAGCCTCCCTGTCTCGGAAGAGAGGGGTCTGGGCTCAGGGCTGGCCTCCTCCCCGGGGCACACGGCCCCTGCCGCAGACCTGCAACCTGACCCCTGAACTTGCTGTTCGTGTCCCCCTTTCCGCTGAGACTAACGGGCCTCTGTGCCTGGTCCTCAGCCGGTGACCCCGGCACCCCCGGGCGCCCCCCCAGTAGCAGGAGCCGCCTGAGCTCTGTGGGGCTGGGAATCAAGGTCCCCCCCACTCCCCGCCAAGTTCCCTCCGACACATGGCCAAGCCGAGCAGCCCAACTCCGAGCTCAAGTGTCCACGTTCATTTCCCCCGGGAGGAGGAGGAGAGATCTGGGCAGGCGCTGGAACCTCTCAGAAGCGCTGATGAGGCCCCAAGAACGAGATTAACTCATTCGCCGTGTTCTGTTCACGGCTAATCACCCTCTCTCCGGAGGAGTGTTCGCTGAAACTTCTGGGCTTTCAGGCCAGTCCTTAGCCGAGAGGTGGGGGGAGACTCCAGGCACAGCCCGCAGGCCTCTTCCTCCCGCCCCTCCCACAATGCAGACTCGGGCCGCCCTTTTCCTCCTTCAGAGGGGGCTTCTGCAGCAACCCCGGGGGCTTGTTAAGAGGCAGGGGGCGGGGCGGGGGCCTGGCACCTGCATTTCCGCTGAAAGCTCCCGGAGATGCTGACACCACCCCTCCCAGACCGCCCTGGGGTCCGGGGGGCCCCCTCGTTAGCCCAGTCGACCGATGGGGAAACCGGCTCGGAGGGACCAGGCAGCTCGCCCAGGACTTCGCAGGGGGCGGTGGCAGGCCGGGCTTCCCTCCCCGCACGCCCAGCCGGCAGAGGGGGCTGGGGTGACCACGCCTCGGTCCCTGCATCCGCCCCCGTGACAGAGCGCGCCCCCGTCCTCCCGCAGGTGCAGAGCTTCCTGCGGGGCTGGCTGTGCCGGCGCAAGTGGAAGACGGTCATCCAGGACTACGTGCGCTCGCCGCACGCCGACAGCATGCGCAAGAGGAACCAGCTGGTGTTCAGCATGCTGGAGGCCGAGGCCGAGTACGTGCAGCAGCTGCACATCCTGGTCAACAACTTCCTGCGCCCGCTGCGGATGGCCGCCAGCTCCAAGAAGCCCCCCATCACGCACGATGACGTCAGCAGCATCTTCCTGAACAGGTGCGCTCCCCGAGGGGCGGGGCCGCGGGGGGACGAGACGGCGCACAGCGGAGCCCCCGCGGGTCGCGCCCGGCGCAGCGGAGCCAATGGCACCCGCGGTGTGGAAGCCGCGGAGCCACGCGGCGGCAAGCCACGCCCTCACAAGTGTGGGTGGGGGCACACAGAGGCCACGCGGCAGGGGGAGGCGCTCCACGGGGGCGTCGTGTCCCCCAGGGCACGCCCCACGTCTTTGGAGATACGTCTGATGGTCAGAACCCGCGGGGCTTAGGGGTGCCGTGGGCCGCGAAGGGGCCGAGGCTGGGGCTGCTGGAAACCCCCTGCGGGGCGCCAGGCCGGCCCCCCAGCAGAGGACCGTGGCTCCCACGGTGTCAGTGTTGACACTGAGAAGTGGGGCGGGAGGGTTTCGAGTTTTGAGTCGGGCTCCAAAGGCTAGCTGTGCTCCATTCCTCATCCTGACGTGGCCATAATGACCTGCAGGCCGGGCTCTGGGCCGCGGGGTCCACCTGCCCTGCAAACGCACCTACTTTTCCCAAACAGCAAACACTTCCTCAGTCAGCATCTTTCTAAAAGGAGTTTAAGAAATGGTTTAAATAATGAGCTTCTCGGTGGGCATTAAAGTTGGGTGGACTGGATGAAAAGTGTCAGACATGAAACACATAACCAGAGCACAATGTTCAAGTGACGCCCCCCGCCCCAGGAATTAGGGTGGCCACCGTGTGCCCCGAGATGGCCCTTCAGCTGTGATCTTGCCAAGGTACGCCTCTCTCAGCTGCTTCACTCCGACCGGCCCTCGCCCAGGCCCTCCCTGTTACAGGACCCCGGGGTTGCCGGGGCAGGGGGCCTGTGGGACTGCCCGGAGGTGGGGGAGAGGTGCAGACACCAGTCAGGGCTCTGGCTGGAGAGGCCCAGAGTCGTTGGGGTGGGCAGGCCTGAGGCTGTGGTGTGGACGCCGCACCAGGGAGGGCCAGGAAAGAGACAGACAGGCCGACGGGGAGAGAAACAGCATTTGACCTCATGAGACTTTCTACAAACAGAACCACGTGCACACATACAAGGTTCACTCTTAATATACATGTTGAAGACAATTTTTAAGTGTTATGTAAATGCCTTTATTTCCCAAAGAAAGAAAATCCGTGCATTTTTGTGAAATCAGGTAACGCTTACTCCAGACACAACAGTGGGGTCTTTCCGACACAGCGACAGGACGCGTCCCTTCTGAGCGCCCTGGGCGGTGCGGTGGGGTCCACGGACACGCACACGTGAGCGTGGACATGGGAACCCACCCTGTGCTTCTCTGTTGGGAAGCCTGGGGTAGAACCAGGGAACTGCATCTCCCACAAGTGCCAGGGCCACGGGTCCCGGACCGCACCGGAGGCAGCACCCTGCCCTGGACAGCTCCCTGGAGAGGGGCGCACACTTGAAAATCCATGTGTAACTTTGGTCTCCTGAACCTCAGCTCGGACAGCCTTCCTGGTAACATAGTCAACACGCTATCTGCTCGTTATATGGTTTATAGACCATACCCTACACTAGGGCAAGCTGGAGAGGAGAAAACGCTTCAGAAAATCACAAGGAGAATACATTTTCGGTGCCATTCTGTGTTTATCAAGGAAACCTGCGGGTAGCGGCCGTGGGATTGGAACCCAGGCCATGCGAGGCCCACTGTGCCGCGGGAGGCCTTGGTAGACTTCTGTGCTCACATTTGAGGCCACGATTGCAAGCCTTTGCTGACCCCTTCTTACGGCCTCTAAGAAAGCTGTGCTTTGTGTCTCTTTACTCTTTCCATGATTTTGTTACTCTCTTCATCGATCTCTAATGGAGTTCTTTTAGCCTAGCGTCTGCGGTAATGAGTTTTCAAGCCAGCTCCCAGCCTTTGCTCAAAAGTTGTTTGAAAAAACAGCCCATGGCTTTTATCTTTCAGCGAGTGCACGATCTGGTCAGAGGCCTTTACCTGAGAGTAAACAGGAGGGAGAAAGCCCCCTCCTCTCCTGGCACCAACCGCCTGCAAGGGGCATGGGGCCCATGGCGGACGGGCACTCGCCGTCGCGGTCTCACTGACCCTGGTCCAGGCCGCAGCAGCCTGAGCGGTTCTCCTGGCCTCCAGGAGCGACACTGCCTCTTACAGGTGTTGGAGGATCTGAGAGGGGTTCACACGCAGCCTCTTGCCCGAGCTGTGCGTGCAGTCCTCTGTGGGAGCGAGACGCCAACAGAAGAGTCAAGCCCCGGAGATGCCCCAGGAGAACGGAACCCACACCGAACGTGGAGGGCACACTTCCCTCCTCCTCTGTGAGGCCAGCGTCACTCCAGCGCCCGAAGCAAAGTCTGTCTCCTGTCAGATCTCAGAGACCCGGAGCATCACCGAGTTGGATCCAGGAATACATCGCAACCCAATGGGACTTACTCCCAGAACGCAGGGATGGTTCAACAAGGAGAAGCCGTCCACGCCTTCCCGTTTTCTCACTGATTCAAGTTAGAGAACACGGTGAGCCTATCTGGGGAAGCATGTCCTGTGCGGGGCTGGCTCCCTCCCCAGGCTCTGATCTCCAGCAGGAGCAGGCGGAGGTCTTCCCCGCCCCGCGCCCAGGCTGCAGGAGGAACAGGCTGGGAGTGGATGCCCTGGGGTCATCAGCAGGACCTTCACTGTCCCTTCTCTGTGCCCAAGGAACGGAGGGCGGATGCTTCCCTTGCCGTCGTGAGCCAGCACGTGGCCGGAGGGAATGTTCTGGACGGCGCTCACCTCGTCCCGGTGGCGCTTCGCGGAACCCGCTTTGCACCCTTGTGCTTTCCATTCTGCAGAGACACCCCACGAGGCTGGAGCTCAGAGAGGTTGCAGGGTGTACTCACGGCACACAGCCATCGTGTGGGCTGCAGTTTTAGCCCAGCTCTGTTTCCTTTTAAGCTCCGTGCTTCCCCACCACCCTGCTCAGTAGCAGGCTGGGACACCATCCCCTCACCCCCCAGCCTTCGGCCTCTGCTCATGGCCACAAGGGTCTGGATGTGCACTCCACCTCGCCCCTGCACGGCTGGAGAACCTTCCCTTGACCATGAGCCCCGCTGTGAAGCAGCCCCTGGGACATGGCCTGCCTGGCGCTCCTGCCTCCGACCAGAGAGGCCGCCGCGCCACTTAGCAGAAGACATTCCCGCACAAAGCTTTCCCTGGATTTGCTTCCAGGCTGAGCCGTCCGGCCCCCTTGGAAACCTGATGCTAACTTGGTAGTTGCTGGAGATGCAGAAGGACCCTTTCCAGGCTGGCGGATTCCTGGAAGTTTCTGCAGGGCAGGGAGGGGTTTATGGTGTGCCCACCCCCCCCCCCTCAGCAAGGGAAGAAAGATCTTCTGAGTAAACACGTGCGGGAGGTTTTGGTTCACGCGGACAGTAGCGCGCAGACTGGGGCTGGTTTCTGCCGTGGGAACCACGCCCAGCCCCCCACCCCGGCGCTGGCACCACAGGCGTTGCCGAGGACCAGAGACATCCTGCCCGGGGGGGGGGGCAGGGGGGCTTGTACATCGATGCCCGCTCTGACCTACGGGCAGGGGCTGCTTGCCGTCCTGGGTTGAGCGGGATGGTGAGACTGGGGGGAGGGTAGCATGCCACCATGAATTAGTCGTGTCTGCACTGGAGGGAAGGTGGGTAACAGGCCATAGATGGACCAAATGTGGGCAGAAGTGCAGGGACCATGCTCTGCCCACCTACCCTGGACTGGCCTTGGGGGGGGTCACACTCCTTTCTGGGCTCAGGGAGCACCAGGCAGAATGAGCACGTCCCAAGTGTGCTCTGCAGACAGGTCACTGCCTCTCCCTCCAACGTTTTTCCCACCCTACCGTCCTTGAGAGGTGTCTCCTACTCTGTCTTCACATCTTCTCTTGGCTGTCACATCCCTGGCCACCACATGCCCCTTGCCACTATAGGCTTAAGTCCCTGCTTGTGTGTCCCCAGGGCCCCCTGCTGCCTTTGTGGGACCCGTCACACTTAAATAATGACTTACCCTGTGTTTGGGTCCTTCTTGCTGTAGGTGGGGTCAGGGTAGTCATGGACAGCTGCCCCAGCTCCACACTGCACAATTCAGGGACGCTCTTCGCATGGGCGAGGGATTGGCACGGTTTTTCTGTAGAGCGCCAGGTGGGAGGTACTTCGGACGTTGTGGGCCATGAGGTCTGTGCTGAAACGAAGCAGTCACAGGTGACCCATGAACGAATGCGGGTGACCGTGCTCCGATGAAACTTCACTACGGACGCTAAAACATGAATGTCGCGTATGTTCACATACGATGAAATGTTTTTTTGTTTTTTTCCAAACCGTTTCGAGATGTAAAAACGTCTCTGAGCTTGCAGACTGTACAAGAACAGGGCACGGCCGCCACCTTGGAGGGAAGAGTTCAGTGTTAGAGAGTTACTAGCTTCACCCAAAATATTCTATAAATGTAATATAGTTCCAGCCAAAGTGCCGCTTAGCTCGATGATCTTGAAGTTGAGCTGAAGGAACAAATACATATAAGTAGGTAACAGTGTTTCCGAGCAAGAACAGTGAAAGAAACATGCCACACTTTAATTAAATTGTTATAAAAGTTTATAAATATATTAAAGGGAATGAAAACAGCCTGAGGGTTGTGCGAGAAAGTAAGATGGAAAGTCTAGAAGCAGACCTAAGACCGTGTAAGAAGTCATAAGGGTGAGAAGCAGCGGAGAAAAGCGGCGGAAACAGCAGGCGTGTGTGATGGATGCGGTCAGCTGACCTCTCGGGAGAGGACGGCGCGTCTCGCTCCAGCTGGCTGCCTTTGAGCACTTTATGTAAAAATTAAGCAACAAAGTAAAACAAGTGAGCATGCGTGCAGAAGCAGAGGACAGAAAGAAAGGATATGCCTTGCAGGGCAAAATGGGAAAATTCCAAAAAATAAAAAGTTAGAACAGCCAACCCACTACCAGTGGTCCAATCGCTGAGCAAATGTGTCTACAACGTGTACGTTAGGTTGTGCACTTACTATGCAGGGCTATCTAAAATTGAGAAGAGACGAAATAATGACTGGACGTGGCTACAGAATTCCCAAAAGAAGGAATTCGGGTGGACAATCCGTAGAGAAAATGTTCAGTGAACGTAACCATGATTTTTTGTAAAAAGCAAATCAAATCAAAATGAGATCATTTTATTTTCTTAGGAGATCAGTAACGATGGTAGCTTCTGAGTCACAAGGTTACCGGTGAAAGTCTCTCAGTTTGTACCTTAAAAAGGGAGGCTTCGTCAACCGTATTTTTACAGTCCCAGCTTACGATGTTCCTATCATGCTACTGCAGTCCCCGTGCAGTGTTGGAATTTAAGAAAGTTCATTTCCTCCCCGATGCCTCCTGAGAAGTTCTCGCCTTGAGGTGCCTGGGAACGACTCCCTGAGTGTTGCTGGGGCCGTGCTCAGGGTAGCCCAGAGCTGCCTGGTTCCCCCAAGAACCCGTGAAAGACCCCCGATGCCCAGTCTCCCCTCCCAGATTGGATACTCTTCCCCTTGTGCATTCCCACACACACTTGGGTCAGTCTCCTGCCTTTAAACTGTCCAAGTGGTCTTCACACGTGGCCAACGCTCTTGGGATTGGTGTGCGTTTGCTCATTCAACAGACTAGTCAGGGGCCACAGAGAGACGGAACCTAGCCCTGTCAGAAGTCACTCTATAGGGGACCTAAAATTGAAAAGGCCTTCAGCCATGTGGGGTGGCCCTGGTCAGGGAATCAGATGTCTCCATGCTGGGGGGACCATTCTTATGGGACTCCAGGGAGAAGACCGTGGAGTCTCCATACCAAGAGGACCCAGGCTCAGAACGGAGCTCAGAACGGTTCCTTCACTCGGAATCTTGTTCGCGTTCTCCCTGGCGCCGTTTTCCTTCCATCCTACATGTCCGGCCGGCGTGACTGAGTTACAGCCTTTGCTGTTCAGCCTGGAGGTGTTGTCTGTGTGTCTCTCTCCCTGACTCTCCCCTGAGCTTTCCCCTCTTCTCCCCCTGGGGTCTTGGGGCCCCTCCGTGCACGAGGGAGACCCCACATTCCGCTGCCCACAGGCCCGTGACCCCCGGCACCTTCCACCCCTGCCCAGTCTTGTGGTTCCAAGGGAGTGAGGCTCCCGGGGGCATATGGCGCTGGGAGGGGGGACAGCCCAGGGGTTGGTTGGGGGTGTGAGAACAGAGACTTAGAGGCTCAGGCTGCCCCGCCCCTTCCTTTTGGGGCTTCACTTTTCCTATCTAAGAATAAGGTGCACGACCAGACTCCCTGGTCTGGTTCAAGGCAAGCCCCAGACACACGGGGGACACCCCCAGGTCTCCAGGTGGTAGGGGCTGGGGTGGTGAGTGGCAGCAGAGAAGGACCAGCTGACAGGGACGGGGGTTGCCAGAGGAGAGAGGAAGCTCCCTTGTCCTCAGAGGGTGAGCTGTGGGAACAGACTAGGGCTGCTCTGGGGCCAGCTGCCCAGGTAGCAGGGGGCAGGAAAGGGGTGCCGGCATGCCTGCCTGGGGAGCGTGCATTCCCCAGGCACTGTAGGTGGTGACAGAGCCGGTGCTGGGGGGACGCTAGATTTTCCACTTCCCTAATTGTCGCACAGAGGGTGGTGGGGAGCTAGTGTTTATGGAGCGCCCACTATGCCCCGGGCGCGGACATCGTCCCATTGCTTGCAGGGGTTACCTCACTTCCCCTTCCTATTTTGTGCAGAAAGATCTGCGGCTCAGAGAGGCACAGTAGCTTGCTCGAGGCCGCACAGCCGGGGTCAGGACATAGGCAGAGCACAGCCCCACATCGTGTGGGTCTGAGGCCGCGGCCCTCTATGCATGTCGTCAGTGACCTTTACTCCGTGCTCTCCAGAACCCTGGGCTCCTCTGGGGTCCCCTAGGGTCACTCCCAGATCCAAGAACTTGGGGAGCCCAGGGAGGTTGGTGGCCCATGACTAGGGAGCTCTGCTTGGGGCTGTCTTGGAACTCTCCTTGTAGCAAAAGGACCTGCGTACTCATCCAGCCCTGGGCCCCCTGAGCAACACAGGCCATCCTGATGGGCTTTCCCTGGGGGCTCCATGGAGGAAGCGGCTTGCTACTGGCATTCGGCTGGCCCCTGGCTGCCGGCTCGGGGTGGGGTCCTCCTGCAGGGGCAGGAAATCCCTGGGGCACAGCTCACCCTGTGTTTCCCTGCAGCGAGACCATCATGTTCCTGCACCAGATTTTCTACCAAGGCCTGAAGGCCCGCATCTCGAGCTGGCCCACCCTGGTCCTGGGTGAGTAGCCCGCCCCACAGCGTCCCTCTCCAGGGCTGCCCTCCAAGCCAGCGGCCTTCCCATCCTTCCGGAGCGCAGCGGTGGCCCCTTACCAGCCCCTCCGAATCCCTCAAGCGGAGAAGGGGAAACACACGTTGGCAAAAAACGTATTTCTAGGAGGAAGCGATATATTTTTACTTATCTACTTTTCCCTCTTAAAAATAATATCGTTTGAGAAAATTTGAGAATCCAGAAAAGTAGAAAAGGTTTAAAAATATCAATCATGGTCCTTCCTCCAAAGATAACTGCCATAAACATCTCAGTGTGTTTTCTTCCAACTTTTTTCTATGCATAGAGCTTGGATTTTTTTTCCCATTTTACACAATTCCAAACATACTGAATTTAGATTTTGAATCTTTCTGTGGGGTGTTGTTTTTTTTGTTTATTTCCTTTTTTTTTTTTTTTTTTTACCTTACTTGACAGCACAACTGGTTTTGTTATCCTGGACGCATGCTTTTTGATGACTGCGTAGTTCTCCACAGCCCGTCCCTGGCTCTTTGGAGTCGGTCCCAGTTCTTGTGACTGGAAATAATCGTCTCTGTGTGTGACATTTCCTTCTGTTTACAGAGCATTTCCTTGGGAATGGTTTCCAGAAGTAGAATTTCTGGAACGAAGAGCTTCTCGGCCCTCTTAGGCTCTGGAGGCCTCGGGGGGGGGCACTTTTGTTTGTTTTTCTCACATCAGAGACCCCCACTTTCCCCAAGGTCAGAATACAAGCACCCCCGGGAAGACGGGGCCGCCCCGTGGGGCGGCTGAGCACGATGTCCGCAGGGCGGTGGACAGCCCCGCCCAGGAGCTCTCCTTCCAAGTCTGCTTTTCTTTCTTAGTGGAGTGTGTAAGCCATGGGGTCCGAGTTGAAGGGAGAGTTTGGGGAGATTGGTTGGGCTCTTGGGGGCTGAAAGGGCAGGAGGACCCTGGGGCCGCAGAGCTGGGGAGGTCTGGAAGGACGGGCAGAGGGACAGAGGGACAGACGGGTGAAGCGCCAGATTCAGGAGGGTGTGAGGTGTGGTGGGAAGCCTGGGATGGGGAGTCCGGAGACCTGGTTCCAGGCCTACTGTGGACCCACCTTGTGACCTCGGTCATCACCTCTGTCACAGGGGGGACACTCTGGGAAGGAGGCCTCTTGGGGGCCCGCCATGTAACCCGGTGAGGGAGCCAGAAGGGGGCATTGGGGTCACCACACAGTTACAGCGGGGGTGTCATGGACCCGTCAGGAACTCTGGAGCTGAGTTGGCCCCTCCCAGGTGCTGTGCTTTGAGGCTAGGGGCCACCTTTACACGCCCGCCTGGGCCAGTCACCCCATGGGGTGTGACCTGGGCTGGAGGCAGCCTCCCTCCGTGGAGAGGGGCTCCTGGCTGGAAGGACCCAGTGGGGAGCCCTCCAAGTGTGCATCTTGGAGGGGCGGGGGCCGTCGCAGTGCCCTCTGCACCGGCTCTCCGGGGCCCTCTGAGACACGGGGCCAGACTGGTCGGGCATCTCTACAAGTGTGATTCTGCTGGGACCCGCCCTCTGGCCCTGGAGGGGACAGGGGTGCCGGAGCCCTCCCCACCGCGGGGCTCCCCAGGACAGGGGCTCCTGCGGGGCGCGGGGTTCCCGCGGGGCGGGGCCGGGCCGGGCGGGGGCGGAGTCCGGCCCGGCTGAGCCCCGCCCCCTTGCAGCGGACCTGTTCGACATCCTGCTGCCCATGCTGAACATCTACCAGGAGTTCGTGCGCAACCACCAGTACAGCCTGCAGATCCTAGCGCACTGCAAGCAGAACCGCGACTTCGACAAGCTGCTCAAGCACTACGAGGCCAAGCCCGACTGCGAGGAGCGCACCCTGGAGACCTTCCTCACCTACCCCATGTTCCAGGTGGCGCCCCGCCCCGCCCCGGCCGGGGGGTGGGGCGGGGGAGCAGAAGCGGGGAGGGCCGGTCCCCTGCGCGGCGTGGCGCCCTTGGTCCTGAGCCCCCTGCCCGCCCTGCCCCTGCGGCGCCCAGCCTCCCGCTTCTCGGGGCTCCGGTCCCCGATGGGCCCCCGCCAGGCTCAGAGGGCGGCCCGTTTCCCTCCTGCGCCCAGCTCCTGGGGTCCTCGCAGCTGACGGTCGTTCTCGGCCTCCTCCTCTCTCTTCCTGTTCGTCTGTTCCTCCCTGCTCCCCTCCCCGCGTCCCTCTGTCTCCACCCCTGCCTCTGTCCCTCTGTCGTTTCTATCCCTGCCTCTGCCTATCTGTCCGTCTCTATCCCTGCCTCTGTCCCTCCCCATCCCCCCCCCCTTCGTTTGTCCCCATCTCTGTCCCCCCGCCCCCCGCCCCGCCCCAGATTCCCAGGTACATCCTGACGCTGCATGAGCTCCTGGCGCACACCCCTCACGAGCACGTGGAGCGCAACAGCCTGGACTACGCCAAGTCCAAACTGGAGGAGCTGTCCAGGTGAGCCCGTCCCCTGTGAGCCGCCCCCCGGGCCCACCCGGCAAGCCTAACCCCCCGCGAGCCTGACCCACGGCCATCCCGGCGAGCCTGACCTCTGGGCACACACACACACACACACACACACACACACACCCCCGTAGCCAAGCCAGGGCCAAGGATGCCCCGCTGGGAGTTTCACCCCAGGTCATGAAAGCTGGTGTGTCCAGGGTAGGAACTGGAGGCAGGGCTCAGCCTACGGCAGCAGGAAGGGGAGACCCCGCAGGCAGGGGTTCATGGCCCTGGGCAGGATCATGTGGCTGGTGTGTCCCTGGCATGGAGCCTTCAGAGAAGTACACTCACGGGGGTTCCATTTCCTTGGTCCTCCAGTGCAGCCGTGTCCTCCCCCATGGCTCTGCATGCCCAAGGCTGTGGTCAGCAGCCCGTGGTGTCAGTGTGGACACAAACTGGAGGCCTCCAGTCAGGGCCCCACACCTGCCCCCTCCCAGTCTCCAGAGTCTGGAGGCGACAGGGGAGCCTTCTCTCCGCAGGCGCAGCCCCCGAGGGGCCCAGGGGAGGAGCAGGCTGTGCTTCCAGGACCCTGGGGGAGAGGGATCAGGTCTCGGGCCAAACGGCTGGGCACCTAGAGGCCACCCAGCACCTCTGGCAACACCCCGAACAGGAGATGATGGTGGCCGGTGACAGACGGTGGCTGTGGGGTGAGGGGGGAGCTCAGATTCCCAGGCATTTTGAAGGTGAAACCGTCAGGAGTCTCCAGCCACTTAGCTGGAGGGACGAGGCTGGAGGGGGTGTGGCAGGTCCTGGGCTGAGCCGCCAGGAGGCTGGAGGAAGGTGCAGGAGGGGCGGCGTGCAGAGATGTCCTTCCTGTTTCGTGGACCAGAGAGGGACCGCCATGACAGAGACAGCAGGAGGGGAGCAGGGCGTGAGAGTCCGGAGGTCAGGGGAGCGAGATGCCAGGGGTCGTCACAAGCCTGGGGAGACCACCCAGGGGCTCCCCACTGTGGGGGCAGACGTAAGGAGAGGCCTTGTGCCCAGAGACCAGCTGCCGGAAGCTGCAAAGGAGGGTTGGCCCGCAGGGTGTGGAGCCTGGCACAGCCCTGCCTGGGGCCCTAAGAGGCTTCCTGGGGCCTGTGAGAGGCCGAGGGTCAGGCCACGGCTCCCCCAGGGCAGAGGCAGGATCTGGGACCAGGGCGGGGCGAAGGGGTTAGCAGGGGCGTGAGTGCAGATTCACAGAACCTCTGTCCTTCTGAGTCGCCAGCGGCCGAATCCTGCCCCTCTCCCCAGGGAGAAGCCTGGGCGCCCCTGGGAGGCAGTGAGGCTCTCTTTCACTGTGGGGCACCCAGTTCTGGGGCACACAAGGGTGCAGGGAAGGGGGCACCCCTGGATCCAGGGGCTTGGCCTGAGACCCCGATTCCCATCCCCCAGGGTCCACCCACCGCATCACCTGCACCTGCCCTAGCTCGAGGCCCTAGTGCACAGCAGAGAGCTTTCCCGTCTCTGCGACACCAGCCCTTCCCCCCTCTCCCTGCCCAGGGGCCCCAGGAGAGCTTCAGGTCCCTGGCTGTGTTCACAAACACCCTACCACCCGGGGACTGTCCTCCACCCGCCTCTGGGCCTGCCCCTGTCCTCCTCACCCCTACCCACCCGGCTCCCAGCTCCGTCATGTGTGTGAGCCCACACCCGTGCGCAGCCTGGGACCCCGAGGCAGACCCCAGCCCAGGACTCGCATGGTCTGAGCAGCTGCGGGCCACAAGTGTCTCCCAGCAAATCCACGCTCACCGCTTCACGAACGACCACCCTCCTGGGGGGAAACCTCGCCCTCGGCAGGAGGGATGGGTCCCGCCCCCTGTGGCTGCCTCCCCGGTCCCACGTCCCTCCAACAGGCAGGCTGGGGCTAGGCTCTGAGGACAGACAGCGCCGCGGGAGGTGCCACAGCCGGAAGAAACAACAGATAAAAATACTCTCTAAGTTAATGACCCACCGATCGCTGTCCTTCACCGAATTGCCTGCCACGTGCCAGACACAGGCCAGTGCCTGAAACCCGTTATGTGCCCACCCTGTGTGGTCCTCCAGGTGGGGAGACGGGGGCCAGAGACATCCGGCAAGGGCTCGGCGTGCTGACCTCACCACACACGCCCAGCCTGACCAGTGTCCCTCCCGGTGTCCCGGGGTTTGACGGGATAATGTCCCTGCGGGAACTGTCAGCCCATAAGTCGCAGAAGCAGCCTCTCCTGGAGCAGGCGGGGCACTTCTTCCAGACTTGCCGCAAAGTCACTCCTCGCCTTCCCTCCCCTGGACATCCACCGCCTTCCCCCAACCCCCCCACCCCCGCAGCATGCCTGATGCTTATTTAAAAGCGGGTGGATGGCGCCACCTGCTGGAGATGAGGGGCGTTGCGGCAGTCCGGACAGGACAGAGTGGTCTTGTCTCAGATCAGTGACCTGCTGTGTCCTGCTTCCCTCCCAGACATGAACAGAAGTCAGTCTCTCTCTGAGCCAGCTGGATTGCCAGCGCCCCTAAATTTAGCCATTCCATAAGAAAACAACTCTATAAAGAGCATTCTAGGAAAACAAACAGCAAGTGCAAAGACTCTGAGGCAGGGCCAACCAGGGTCTGGTCTATGGTTGGAAACAAGGCTATAGTGGACTGAGGGGAAGAGTAGTGGACAAAGGGCGTTTGCTGAGCTCCCCTCTTCCTCCCTGTTCTGCCATTCTGTTGCACGTGGCTCGGACTCGGATCAGACAGACCTGCTCCCTCACTGCTAACCTCCGTTTCCTTTTCCCGGAGACGAGGACACCTGCTTCCTTGAGTTTCCAGAACACAGTAAGACCATGCCTGTCCGTAGAGTGTGCAGCACACAGGGGGCCCTCGATTCACGACTGCAGGCTCTGAGAGTCCTGGGGCCAGGCTTTCTCGCTGGGTCTGGCCAGAGACTTGGCGTCCCCTCCTCCTGCCCCAACAGATTTCCCGTCCCCGCAGAATAATGCACGACGAAGTGAGCGAGACAGAGAACATCCGGAAAAACCTCGCCATCGAGCGTATGATCATCGAAGGCTGCGAGATCCTGCTGGACACCAGCCAGACTTTTGTGAGACAAGGTACACCCCCACCCGGGCACAGGTGGCCCTGCAGCAGGGCGGGCTGCCCCTGGGACCCCTCCAGAGGGCATGCCTGCAGGGGGTCCCGAGGCCACTGGAGGGCCGTGGGTGTTGCATCCACACATGGATACTGTGGGCCTCACCGCGTTCTTCTCTCCAGAGGTAGACACGCTTCTCCCTAGGTGTCTGGTGTGTCCGTCGTGTGTCCCAGCAAACACTGACCCATGCCTTTCGGGGAGAGTAGGGCGCAGAGGACGAGGCCATATACAGACTATTGGCCACAAGCCTTTCCGTCAGAGGCAGTGTGGCTCAGTCCCTCTGTCCTCTGCTCGTCGTCCTTGGCCTCTTGCAGAGCCGTGCCCGGGAGGCCCAGTCCCAGGGAGGGCCGGGGAGACACTAGCTGCCCACCTGGGGACATTGGAGCTTCGATGTCCCCGAGGGTTCCACCATCCAGAGCCCACATTCTGTGGGCTGCAGCTTCTGCTTGTACTCCCGGACGTCCTCTGTCCGGCCCTGGGATTCTCCGAACAGAAGAGAGGCCCCACCCCAGCCTGGCCAGCGGGTCTGCATGCGTCCTCAGCTCGGAGTTTTGCTCTGAGCCCCTGTGTGGCCCCTGTGCCCTTCCCCAGACTCAGCCTGCCCCCCCCCCCCCACCGAGCCGCACCAGGCCTGCGCTGGACACGCCCAAAGGATGACCCCTCCTGGCACAGGCAGCGTCCCCGCAGGCTAGGAATCCACTCTGTTCCCCAAGCAGGGTGTTTCCTTCCCTCCCTCGGGGCTGTGCCGGACCTGGAACCAGGCAAGGGGATCCAGAAAGCCCTTTCTCGCTCGTTAGACACGTGCCTCATTCATGCCGGGCCAGCGCCAGGCTGCAGGGACACCCCGGGATGAGACTTGCCCCACCTTCCGGAAGCAGACTGCAGGGAGAGGGGTCCATGAGGAGACAGACGCAGGGCAGTGGTCCAGGCCATGACGGATGCAGGCGGGGGGCAGAGCAGGTGAGGGAGTCAGGGAGGGCTTCCTGGAGGGGAAGGACAAGTGGGAGTTCACGGGCCAGAGAGGAAGGGCTTTCCCACCAGGGAGCAGCTCTCGGAGCCACGGTCATGAGCTAGAGCTAGGGTGGCCGAGGCAGGACACGGCGCAGGGGAGGTGTGCGCGTGCCTGACCCGGAAGGTCTTGAGCAGGTGGGAACAGAGGCGTGTGGTGTGGGTATCGGGTGGGGCCAGAGCCGAGGCCTGGGGGCCTTCCTCCCTGGGGTCTGCTCCCAGCACAGGGTGTCCGGGATGGGGCCCGTCTGGCTCTGCGGCCCGTGAGCCGTGTCTGATTGGTGATGTCTGTGTGGCGCGGGCCACAGGGCTGTGCGTGGTGCTGATCTGTCTGGGCCAACCCCAACTCCCCACGTGTGCTGACCCCCAGACCCCAGCCCAGCCCCACGTGCCTGCCACATGGCCCCTGCCCTGGAGGGCTCCTCCGCCTGCCAGGGCTCTGGCCGGGGCACTAGGGGGTCCTGCCAGAAGCTGCGTGCCTCCACCATCTGGCTGATAGGGCAGAGGGAACACCGCCCGGGGTGCACAGGACTGCCGGGACCGCCCGGGGCTGGCGTTGGGACGCGCCACAGCTGCCGAGCCGGCCACAGGCGAGCGAGGCTCTGGGAGCAGGGCTCAGGGTGCGTCCTCCGCCCACAGGCTCCCTCATCCAGGTGCCCATGTCCGAGAAGGGCAAGATCACCCGGGGCCGCCTGGGCTCCCTGTCCCTGAAGAAGGAGGGCGAGCGGCAGTGCTTCCTGTTCTCCAAGCACCTCATCATCTGCACCAGAGGCTCGGGGGGGAAACTGCACCTGACCAAGGTAGGGGCCACTTGCAGGGGCCGACCCGGGTGGGCCAGGGCGTCAGAGACACGGGCGTGCACGTGCGCGCACCGGCTCCATGGCAGGCTGGAGTGAGCTGGCCGCAGACGGGTTTTTTAGGGAGATTGTGGGGAGTGGGAGGGTGAGTAGTGTCAGGACCCCCGCAGGACCCCCCAACAGGAGGCCCCGCACCTGGTATCAGAGCAGAGGAGCCAGGAGGTCCAGTGGAAGCCCTGAGCGGTGCTCCTGTGTGTGCGCGTGGGCACGGCTGCAGGGGAGGGGCCGACTGAGAAAGAGGGGCACCGGACCCCTTCCCCCCCTCGGGAGGTGCTGACATAGCTGCTCCCAGGCCTTCGCCAGCACGACGGCATGGGCACAGGAGTACTAGACCCAGCCAGGGCTCACACACGGGGCCGGCCTCACACGAGCCCCGCACACTCAGCTGACTGGCCCATCGGAAAGGGAAGGGAAACACTTACCCAGCAGGGGAGACGCTGTGATGCCAAAGCTGGCTTTCCCAGGGCGAGGCCTCTCCGTGCCCTCCGGGTGAGTGGAGCCCCATGATTTCCCCAAACGCAGGAAACTCCGCTGTGTCATTTGTGGTGGGAGGGACGCATCCCACCTTCCCCCCGACAATGAGATGGTCAAAAGGAAAAAAGCGAAGAGGGATCAGCACCTCAAACCCCTCCTGCTCCTTCACAGACCACAGGGCCTTGGCTTGTGCTGTCCAGGTCTTTCTTTCCTGGAGGACCGCCTTCCTCTCCCAGTACCTGCTCACATGCCACTGGCCGTGAGGTGCCCTCCGGGCAGCGTGTCCAGCTCCCCAGCCCAGCACGCTGCTTATCTTGCAGCTCTGAGCCCCGTGCTCCGTCTGCAGAGAAGGGTGCCCGTCCTCAGCAGGGGCTCGGCGGGCGGCGGGCGGCCGGTGCTGAGTCGAGCCCAGCACGCATGCCCATGGACGCAGTCTCCGCTGCAGGCCTGCTTCAGCGGGTCCGCCGTCCGAACACATCGCGGCCTAGAAGGGACCGTAACCTCCCACAAGCTGCTACGGCGTCCGGCGCTGGCATCTGGGACGGTCCTGCTCCCGGGGACGTGCGGCCGGTTAGGGGGTGGGCCACGCCTGTGGAAATCCGTCCACAGCGGATACTGCAGTGTCCACCGAATTCGGATCGGGCCCTTCCCTTACTTCCGAGCTCCGGGGCTTCCACGCGAGGCTCCGGCCGGGCGGGTGGGCGTTCCCCAGCAGGCGGCCGGCCGCGGGCAGACAGAGCCTGAAAGCGCGTGGTTTCCTGTTTGTGAGTTTTCTCCTATTTGGGCAGGGGCGGGGGGCCGTGTAAGCGTCTCACGTCCCTCGGCGCGACGGACATGGGGCTGCTGCTCGGCCGCCCCCAAGCCTCGGAGTACCCAGCGGCACAACGGGACTGGACACACCTGCTTCTGGGGCGCTGCGAGGGTCAGGGGAGTGGGTGCAGAGCGGGCGCGGAGCCCGGGAAACGGCGGGAGCTCGGCGGGCGCAGAGCGTGGTCGTTCTTGCCATCGTGACAGACTTACAGCGACGAAGGCCACAAGCACTTGCAAGATAACCACGGCGGGCGGGATGCTCTCCGGCCTGCTCTGTGGGTCCCCACCCCCTGGAACCACCCATTGAAGCGGATCCTGAGACGCCCCCGTCTGACAGGCGGGGGAATCGGGGCGTCTCGAAGCTGCCCGTGGCAAAGCAGGGATTTGAACCCACACCGGCCGGCCGGCTCCGGGGCCGATGGTCTGAAACACAGAGAGACGGCTTCCCGACGCCCGGAGACACGTCCGCCAGAGTGAAGACCATGGCAAGGTCTGTGGCAGGAAGAGACTGTCGAGCACCGTGGGGCGTGGCAGCTCGTCAAGCCTGGGAGCTCACCCAGGGCCGCCGAAGCGCAGGGCCAGAACGCAGGGTTGGGGCTCCGCATCCGGGGACAGCCCGCTGCAACAGCACAGCCGGCTCTCTGCGGCCGCCGGTCCTCGTATGAGGTGTCCATGCCCGGTGACAAGCTGCCCCTGACGGAGGGCTCACGGCGTTCGTGGTCTCACCTCGGCTGCTGGCAGGGGCGGGGTCTCATGGGGTCACGTCCAGGCCCGGGGGCTGCACCAGCGTTCCTGGGGTGGCCTCCCCACGTGGTCCAAGGGACACCCGGAGAGCAGGCAGGAGGTGCAGGTCACCCGAGAAGCCGGCCGCCAGCCTGGCCCACACTCGAGAGAGGAAAGCCGACCTCACCTTTCCGGGGCGGGTATCCACATCTTCCACCACCCCCCAAGGTCACGGCCACTGTTGACACAGCACCGGGCGTCTCACGCCCGGGAGAGGCTTCCACACTCGAGGAAGAGGGGCACTTTCCCAGGCGTCCCTCAGAACAGGCAGCGAGCAAGCGACCGGTGAGGTCAGGCCTCGAGTCTCTCCCTGACCCCAGCACTAGCCTCCAGGTGACGGGGGCACCTTGTGGGCAAGACCCCTCCCCGGATCTCATCGTACTGTAAAATCAGAGCGGGACCATGATGCATGCAGTCAGTGGCCCCGTGTCCCTCCTGGCAACGAGACGGTGTGGCCCAGACTCAGGGGTCGGCACTGTGCAGGCTCAGGGCCCCTGACTTTCAGGGCCCTCAACCCTCCCTGACTCTCACTTGGGGGAGCCTGATGAGACCGTCCCACCTGACCCACTCCACGGGACTTCTTACACGAGGACGATGTCCCTCAACACGAAAACCACCACACCCACGGGAACACAACACGGGCACACACGTGTGCGTACGCGCATGCACACCTGTAAGGCTGTATCCCGCCCCGATCCACGGGGCTCTGTCCCCCGCGCGTCCCACTGACTCAGGCCGGCCCCTGCTGTCTTTCAGAACGGGGTCATCTCCCTGATCGACTGCACCCTGCTGGAGGACCCAGAGAACATGGAGGAAGACGGTAGGACACTCGTTCACCCCGCCCCATCTGGCTGGGGGGACAAGAGGGTGCTGAGGGGTGGCCGGCAGGTGGGAGCCCCCGTCCACTGTCCTGTTTCCCCCCACGCTGCTTGGGCCCCTGGACATGGGCGCCCAATTCAGTTTGGGGTCCCAGCTCCTCCGTGGGGACCCCCCATTCACATGTCCACGGGTCCCGCCCACAGTGGCTCCCCTGGGTCCTGTGGAAGGGGTCAGGAAAGCACTGCTCTGTCCTCCAGTGGGAGGCGTGGGGACACACAGGGTGGCCGCCTGGGCAGGGAGGGCGACTCGTGGGGAAGGCAGGGGATGGGCCAGCTGGTGTGGAGGCTTCTGTGGGGTTTCCCTCCCAGGCGTCACTGGGGATAGGCTCGTTATTTTAGGCCGGGGGGGGCCACTACTGTTGATTGATTGGGCAGACGTTGGTCCTCGTGTCCCTTCTGCTCTGTCCCCCCGCCCTCTGTGGGGTGACCCCATCAGGACTTTGCGTCTTTGCCCTTCCCCAGACCAGGGTTCCTCAGAGCAGGGCCGAGTCTGAGCCGTCTCAGATTGGGAGTTTTGCAGAAGGCGTGGGCCCCTGTCCATCCACACTCACTCACATGTCCCCGGTCGGCCTTTCCTGCCCCCGCCCAGGGAGCCGGGTCACACGGCCCCCAAGGGAAGGACAAACACGTCATGTGGTCACCCAGAGCACTCCTGGTGCCTGACCTGCTCTAATCCCAGCCACGGCGGGGCCACGGGAAGGCCCCGACTCAAGCGGAACGGTCGGACCCCACAGCCCTCTTCCCTCCAGGGCCAAGGGAGATAGAGACCTGGCCCCACGGGACCCCCAGTCCACACACTCACTCGCAGGCACCCCGCTTCCCAGAGTGGCCAGCACCGTCCCATCCCTGAGCCACCACCCAGCCCAGCACAGAACCCTAAGACTCTCGAGGGTCAGAACTGGAAGGCTGGGGCCCCAGAGACGTCCTGTCCCTTCTGTACAGGAGAACGTCCGCAGCAGGGGTGGGAAGGGCACCCTCGGGGTCACGTAGCCAGCAACAGCAGAGCAGGGCCCTACCCCCTTCTGCCCCGTGCGGTACCTGAGCTAACGAGGGCACCCTGGAAGGCACCGTGAACTGCTCTCGCTCAGCCTCCGAGAGCCCGCGCAGTTCTTGGGTTGGGAACAGCATCAGAATTACCCAGGATGTCGCTCTGGGGGGCTCTGCCCTGAGCTGAATGTCGAGTCTGGCCCGTAAATGTTGACGACCGGAAATTCCCCTTCAGGCCCTGGGATCACCCGAGGGCAGCCGGCGGGCCCGGCGGGGAGGCCCGTTCTAGTCCTGGATTCCCCGTGGCCGCCAGGTCTCTGGGACATCCTCGCTCGGAACCTCAGCTGCCCGTCGGCGGGATGAAGGCAGAGGCCAACCCCCCCAACCCAGGCTCCCTGGCTCTGCCGCTGGGACGGCCTCACGGGTTTTGAGCTACTTCTCAGTCTTTGCTTGTGTCTGGAGTGGGGGTTCCTCCCCGAGGGGGCAGGGGATGTTTTCCCGGTAGCGAGGGGCCCAGTGCCTTCATCGTGGGTAAGACAGAGAGGGGGCATGGTGAAGATGTTTCCCAGCTCAAGAAGGGCCCCGCTCATTCTGCTGACTCTGTGTTTTGCAACTGGAAGCCAAAGGAGCCAACCAAGACATAGACCACTTGGATTTTAAGATTGGGGTGGAGCCCAAGGATTCCCCACCTTTCACCGTCATCCTCGTGGCCTCGTCCAGGCAAGAGAAGGCGGCGTGGACCAGCGACATCAGCCAGGTCAGCCAGCTCACCTGTCCCGGAAGCGTGTGGTCCCTTCAAGTCTGAGCTCTTGGAGCCCTGGGGGCAAGGTTCTAACGGAAAGGACGCAAGTCCAGACCCGGCCAAGGCTGAGGCCAGCTGTCCCCTCCCATTGCCAGAGTCTGGAAAACTGGGCAGAGTCTGGGCAGTCTGGGAACCCCTTGCACTGGGATCATACCTTACTGTGATTTTTGAAACTCCAGATTCTTGGGCTCCACTGGGCTTCCCCACAGCCCTAGAGGTAAGTTTCAGGGACAAAGCCAGGGAATCCACCTTTTAGCACGTATGCCCCAGGACATTGGCACACACAGAAAAGTCTGAGCACCACCTGTGTGGGATGCTGGACATCACAGAGCTTCGGGACACAGGGAGGGCCCTCCAAGGCCTAGTGTCAGCTACGCGGAGAGAAGGCTTGGTCTCCGTCTTTGACCGCACGCCAGGGACCAGGGACCAGGAAGCACAGGGACCAGTGAGCAGCCCCGGAGGGCTGTGGGCTCCTGCGCTACTGGGACACAGACGGAGTCTGGAAGAAGCTGTCCATGGCCCCGGGCAGGACCGGCCTCTCCCTGGGTTAGCGCAGCCCTGTCCCCGTAGCGGAGGAGCCCGTCCAGGCCGTCCACCGGCAGCTGCCCTGCAGACTGGGTGAGCCTCCTGGGGAGCAGCGGACAGCGGGAGGAGGGGGACGGCCAAGCTGGGGATTCCCGTCATTTGAGGCAGGAGGCCTGGGGCAGAGGCTCTGCTCTATCTAGTGGTGAGCCCCCAGCACTGGTTCTTATGCCCCGTTTCCAGGCTGCCCAGACGGCTGCTCCCCCAGCCCTCTGGCCTGCCTGCCCATCTGGAAATGCCAGGAGAACGAGGCAGCTCAGGGGAGCACGCAGCGGGTGTCTGCCCCTTCTGTGTGCTAACACGTGTTCTCAGAGCTCCCAGTGTGCCCTGGAGAAAACCAAAAAACCGGAAACTAGGAAAGAGTACCGAGGCCAGTGGGGGCCCCCGGCCCTCCCCCGGGCCCCCGATGCCTCCAGGGAGCCCTGTCCACAGCCAGACGCCCTGCCTTCCACTGCAGCTGGTATAACCAGGGCTGAAGGGAGCCTCTGAGCCGTGGGCTGGAGACGCTGGACTGGGAAGTGCAAGGAGCAGGAACCCCCCTCTGGCAGACCCCCTCCCAAAGAACGGGGGGCCTAGCCCTGTCGGGACGCTGGTCCCGGGTGGGCCCCCCCCGCCCGGCCAGCTCCCCTGACACACGCGCCCTCGCAACCAGGAGATGCTGAGATGTGCCCGCGGCAGCGATGTGAAGGCTGGGGGCAGGGGCGGTGAGAGGGAAAGGGACCCCCGCAGAGATGTACTTTCCGTTTGGGGGGTACTTATTCAAAGCAGAATGTGGATTTTGAGTTTCTCCGAGGCTGAGGGAAGCGTGGGTTCCTGTTCCCCTAGTCCCAGCAGCCCGGCCTCTTCCAGACGGGGTTTCTGACGTGGAAACCGTCTGCAGCCTCAGAGTGTGGCTGTGGGGGGGGCAGAGGACCCAGGGTGTGGGACCGCAGGCACGGGGTGTGGAGGCTGATGCCAGCCACAGTGGCCTGACCTGGACCTTCACGCCAGACCCCAGAGGTCAGCCACCGAGCGGCCAGGTCAGTCGCCCCCGTCTGCCGATACCCAGCAAGGCCAGTTTCATCCCTCCTTCGAAGTCAGGGATGGGAAGGCCTAGGGAGGCAAGTCCCCAGAAGGTCGCCGGGGTCGGAGTTGGGCTCCGATGGGAGTGAAGGGAGGCTGCGGCTGACCTGCCCTTGCCGGACGACGCTCCGGTGTGAGGACCCCGCATCCAGCTGGGCCCATGAGCCGCTCCCTGGGCGCAGCTGCTGTGGGGCCCAGGGTGGTGGCCACAGCTCTGACCCTGGCCCCACCCCCGCTTCCAGTGTGTGGATAATATCCGGTGCAATGGGCTGATGATGAACGCGTTCGAGGAGAACTCCAAGGTCACCGTGCCGCAGATGATCAAGTAAGTCGTGCCCTACAGCCGGCGGGCTCCAACCCAGGGAAGACCGTGGCCACAGCCACAGCCCTGTGGGCTCACAACCTGGGGATGGCCACAGCCATGGCTACAGCCACAGCGCAGCAGGCTCGTGACCCAGGGACGGCCACGGCCATAGCCACAGCCTGGTGCGCTTGTGACCTGGGGACAGCCACGGCCACAGCCCAGCAGGCTTGCGTCTGGGGACGGCTACAGCGGGGCACGGGAGCCTCCAGTCACGGGTCTCCCAGACATACCGGCTGTACCTTCAGGCCTTGGAGGCGTCTGTGTTTCTGTTTGTTTTACGCCAACGCGCATTCAGACGAGGGCTCCGGCTTCGTTTCTGTCATTTCCAAACGCGGATTTGGGGGGTCGGCTGTCGGCTATTACAGGAGTGAAACTTGATGTATTTATTTTAATAACTATTTTTTTCCTCATCACAAAATGAGAGCATTTCAGAAACACGGGCTCAAGGACGGCGGCATCTGTCCGAGCGACCGCAGGGGCGAGGCAGGGTGTCCGTTGAGCCCGTGGTCGGAGCTCCCCGGGACCCCCAGGCCCGCTGCTCGCCCGCGGTGTGCTCTCCCCGCCTCGCCCTCCTTCCTGCCCCAGCTGCGCTCCGCGTGTGATGGCGGACGGGTCCCTCAGTGTTTCCGAGCTCGGACCCCGCGCTGTGAGCGGGAGAGGGTGACGCCTCCCCACCAGGAGGACGTGTTTTCTTGTTCGGGGGCAGGAGGTTGCGTATGTGGTTTTTGTTTCCCGCACAAAGAGCTAGCGTTCTGTGCCGTCCGGGGCGATGCCTCCCATGACCCGTTCGGGAGCCGCAGGGAGCAATGTCCAGCGTCACCAGGCGCGTCCTGAGCCCGCGTCCCCGAGCCGACTATGCCGGCCTGAGTCCGGGCGGCGGGAGCGGGAACCCGGCTGAATTCTCTCTGCGGCCCAGTGCCGCCGCGCGCGCCCGTGTCTCTCAGATGCAGCGAGGCCCCGGGCCGATTTGTTCAAGCGGGAAAACGACAGCCACGTGTGGAATCACGGTTAAGAGTGAGCCAGGCTCCCGCTCCTACTCTCTGCCAAGGACACGGCGTCCAAGAGGCGAAACTGAGCCAGGCGTCCCTGCAAGGGAAAAACAGCGCGTTTTAAACTACGACAGCGGCAGAGTGAAGGGAGCGTGCAGGGCACAGGGACCGTGCGAGGACCCGCCAGCCGCAGGCTGAGGCAGCAGCGGCCGAGCGCGGCGTCCCGGTCCCGGGAGCGCCGTGGGAGCAGAAGCCATCAGGCGTGGTCTCCGCCCTCCCTGACCCTTTAGTGAGAGAAACGCTCATGGGTCTGAGCGGGTCCGGAGGTGAGAGGTGACGGCCCCTGGCACGGTGGGACGGACGCCGCAGAGAGGACGCCAGAGCCGACCGTGAGGATAATGGCGGGGAAGGGCGCTCTGGGAGGAGGGAACAGCGTGAACAGGTGCAGAGGCAGGAAAGCACAAGTGTTGGGAATGATAATTAGCCCCGTGGGGTGGCAGGACGGGCAGAGTGGACTGGCGCAGGGGGAGGTGACCGGCCTCCATGTCCACCGCCAGAACCGCCTGCCCAGACAAAGGCCCCGGAACAGGAAGGCTCAGGGACCCCGGGAAGGAGCTGAGCCACAGCCCAGCGTGTCTGTTCTGAACACATGTGAGGAGCCAGGGCTGGAGCGGGCGTCACGCTTGGTCACTCAGCATCACTGGCCCCGCAGCCTTCCCTACCCGTGCGTGGCCTGTAGGGACCAGCAGGAGGCCTGACGGGGAGGAAAGCCCCTGGGCCGGCCACACCCCTGCCAGCCCCACCGAGCTGTCCTGGCAGGTGTGCGGCCCCGGGCAGAGGGTAAAGGGGGGGATGGGTGTCGCGGACATGAGCACCGAGCGTCCCTGTGCCTCGGGCACGTTGCGTCCTGAGTGGCACCCGCTGGGTCCTCCCATCTGTGGGTTCGGCACTCGTACGCTCGCTGAGGTCATGTGTGTCTCGTGTCCCACACGCTATCCCCTCGTCTGTCCTGCTCGCAGCTTGCTCTCACTTCATAGCGCGCTTGGGATTTCTTACAGGATCTGCATCGTGAACGGCAGGGCGGAGGGGGCGGGAGTCAGACAAGGGTAACGTGACGGGCGAAGGGTTAGGGTCTCCGCCGGGCGCCACTCTGACAGGGAGCACGTGGGCACTGAGGGCCTGGCCAGATGGCAGGTGGGCGGGGACCGTCCCTGCATCTGTGCCCACAAGCCTGAGTCCCTGACACACCTGCCACATCAGACAGACTCGGGAGTGGCCCGATTTGGGGTTCGAAGCCCAAAGAGGCACGAAGCCCCGTGCTGCCTCCAGGCACAGCGTGTCCGGGCATTCTGGTGTGTGGACGCGGGCAAGAGGAGGGTCCAGCCACGCAGAGAGCTGAGGACTCTCGCTGCGCCCGCCTTGGGCCCCAGGGCACTACAGCGGCCCCAGCACGTGGCCTTGGGGACAGTGGTCCTGGGGTCGGTGGGGGAGCACCCTCCCTGAATCACGGCAGCTCAGCCATGCCCAGAGGCATCTCACAATGGACACCCCTGCAGCACGAGCCCCCGTCTTCCTGACAAGAGCCACAGTCCAGCCTGGGTTCCCACTCGGGACAGAGGCCCTGCGACCAACACTGGCAGCCGGTTCACAACGGAGGCGACGGGTGATGGGAGATGTTTCCAGCCTTCTCTGTCCGTCCAGACGCAGAAGGAGCCCGGAGAGAAGGTGCTGAGAGCAAAAGGCCCCAGAGGGGTCCGATGTGAGCCACGCAGTCTGACACGGTACCCGTGAGCATGCCGGGCCCGGGCTGGACACGCTGGGGCCCAGGCGCTGAAGGTGTCCCCACTCTGGGGACAGACCGGACTGCCACATGGGAGCCCCTGGGCCACAGGCTGGACGCCGCCGACCGTGAGGGCCTCCTCCTGCAGACACGTCTCCTGCCCGGTCTTCTCTCTCGTCGCTTCCTCTGGAGACTCCCGGCATGGAGCCGGTCCCTCTCTGCGTCCCCCGTGGGGCTTATGCTTTCCCTCCCCGACCTCACCCCATTGCCGCTGCCTGTCAGAGCCGGGACACTTTCTCGGGCGTGTGTGGGGCGTCCCTCCGCTGGCGTCTGAGCGCCCAGGCCTCGGGCTCCTTTGACACCACAATTTCATCTCCAGCGTCCAGGAAACCTCTGTGATCTCAGATGATCCCGTGCTTTCCTGAGTCACGGCGGACCCAGAAGCCGAGGTCTTGTAAAGCGTCTGTGTCTTGTGGCAGTTTCCCTGGAAGGGGTCGTCCAGCCTATTTCTTCAGGAAGGGCTCTCTGGACGGCAGTGTCTTCCCGGGCTCTGTGGCTCTTTCTCCTCCTGAGAAGGAATCCCTGCTCACTGATGGCACTCGATAAAGGTGGTTTCCTTTCCCAGGAATATTTTGAATCCCAGGGATGTGTCCAGAGAGGGCCCTGGAAAGACAGCGTTGGCGCTCCTGGACGGGAGACCCCCCCCCCCCAGGAGAACCCATGACCCCATTTACCACCCATGCCTGGTCCCGGAGGCCACTCACTTTGTTAAGAGTTTGCTAAAGCCTTGTGAGGTAGATCTTCCTGTTTCCACGTCACAGACCAGAGGAGGGAGGGAAGTCTGGTATCCGATGACAGTAGGACACAGGTGACAGGTGTCCTTCCAAACCGAGTATTCTGACTCCAAGCCTCGCGTCCTTCACCAGACCACGGGTGTGACACCCGTTCTTGCCGTGACAACCTGTAGGAGCTGAATTCCTGTGTCTTTGGGGCTTTTACTCTGGAAGCTCATTTTGATAAGATTTCCAGGCTTGTCCTTTGTTTGTCCTTCTGTGTCCGAGTCTCGTCCCAGCGGCACACAGGGGAGACGTCAGGCAGCCGCTGCCTGCGTAGGGAAGCACGGTGGCCCGTGTGTGCAGAGGAAGGGCAAAGGCGGCTCGAGGAAGGAGACCTGAAGCGCCAGGGGTGAAGTGCCCTCGCCGGGCGCCCACTGGGAGTGGGCACCGTGTCTGACGCCAGGCTGCTCGCGGCCGCCGCACCAACACGGAGACCACGATTCTGAGATTCATGACGTCCAGAAGCGAGAGACCACAGCTGCCAAGACAGGACGGGACTGCCCCGTGAGACCAACGGAACGCCTCTCCCGGGGTCTCCCCACCAGTGGGGGGGCGCTGCGTGCGGGACAGCAATTGGAACCGCTGGCCACCACCATGCCAGGAGAGGCCCCTGACCTCAGGCTCCCCGCTGAGAGGCATGTGGCCGAGCGAGCCCCGCCATCGGGTCATCAGACCTGTGAGGCCGGGTCAGCTGCCCCGACACCTGTCCCAGAGGACGGAGGCGTCCCGCCACCAGATCCAACAGGGAAGGTCCCGGAACAGCCAGGTTGCTCTGCTGGGATCCCACGCCATCCGGAAATCACTCTGGACCGGGATGTGGGACTCAGGAAGGTCCAGGACCCCTGCCCAGCCCTGAGCGTCTTACTGTAGTCCAGTCCCTGAGGTCCGGCGATCTTCTGCTGGCTGAAGACTGACCTTTGTACTTTAATAGGCAGCTGGGGGGCGTGAAGGTGGGCGTGACCTCTGCAGAGGCCGGCAGGGTAAAGGGACAGAGCTGCTAGGCAGTCCCCTTCCGCCTCCTGCCCAGTCTGGGGGCTCCTCACCAACGGCCGTGGCAGCCGGATCCGTCCTGAGCTGAAGGGAGGACAGCTGTGGGTGGCTGCTGGTGGAGAAATCACAGGGAAAGAAGGCAGTACGGTTGTCAGAAAACGTGAGAGCCCTGGGGACCTAACACTGCAACGTCCATGTGTCGCACTTGCTCATGCAGACCTGATTCCTTGTACGGCTCTTTGTTTTGATTTGTGAGCTCATTTTCTGGAGGGATTTATCCATGAAGGTCTTGCAGAGCCTGGCGGAGGGGCGCCCTGGCGGGCCCACAGCCTGGGACCACTCTTCATACCGGTCGGGGGTCCCTGATAACGATGTGGTACGTGATTGTGTGCCCAAGCCATGGGGAGAAAAAGGGCATGTTCTCAGGAGCGTCTGTGCCCCGTCCTCCCTTCCCTGGAACCCAGGCTAACCCAGGACACTCACCCCTCCGTCCCCCAGTGGGTAGAGTTTTCAGGGCCCCCGCCCAGGGCCTCAGCCATCTGTGGGGTTCTCACCCCAACACCCTCCCCTCACACAAGACCCAGTCCTGGCCCTTCCCAGTGGAAACCCGAGGGATCCGTATGCATAAGCGGCCGATGTCCCAAAGACACATGAAGCATCTGCTGGTTTCCAGATCCCTCTAGGAATCCCCTTAGATCTTTCTGTTCCCGCTTAGTTTTTCCTGAGGTGGAACTCATATAGCATAAAACTCGGCATTTTGAAGTGTGCGGTTTGGGATTTTAGCGCATCACTGTGGTGCGAACCTCACCGCCGTCCGATTGCAGAATGTCTCCGTCACCCCCCAAGCCCCCCTCTTCCGCGTGTTGGCGGTCCGCGCCCTCCCCCCACCCTCCGGCAGGCGGCCGCTTGCTCTCCGTGTCGGTGGACCGGGCTGTTGGGGACACGTTGTAGAAACGAAGTCCTAGGATGTGCGGACTTGGCTCCTGGATTCCCTCGCTCGGCGTGTCCTGCAGAGCCGCGATGTGGGGCCCTTCCCCACAGACAGCGCCCGCTCCCAGCCGAGCCGCCCTCAATGCGTGGACGCACCCCACCAGGCTATTCCCTGAGCCGCGCGCAGACCCCGGGGTCGCCTCTCCCGTGCAGCGTTAGGAATAGCGGTGCCGTGAACCCTTGAGGACAGGTCGCCCTCCTCTTAGCCCAGCAACACGCCGTCTGTGAGTTTGTTAGGTTTTGTCCAGAATTTCTAGGCGGATACGGGGCTTTTGCTGGGAGCCAGACCCAGCGTCCTGGCATCCCGTTCCTACCTAGGGCCGCCCTCCCACCTTTCTGGGGCCCCCAAGCAGGCCGGCCAGCCTCTAGCAGGTGTCCGTGCGTCTGTCTGTCTGCCCGCCCACGGCGGCCGTGCGTCGGGGAGGCAGCGGCGGCCGGAGTGTGGGCTTACCGGCGCGGACCGCCGTCTCCCCGGGGCCCTGCCTCCCCCGCAGGTCGGACGCCTCCCTCTACTGCGACGACGTGGACATCCGCTTCAGCAAGACCATGAACTCCTGCAAAGTGCTGCAGATCCGCTACGCCAGCGTGGGGCGGCTGCTGGAGAGGCTGACCGACCTGCGTTTCCTGAGCATCGACTTCCTCAACACCTTCCTGCACTCCTACCGCGTCTTCACCACGGCCGTCGTGGTGCTGGACAAGCTCATCGCCATCTACCGGAAGCCCATCAGCGCCGTCCCCGCCAGGTGGGCAGCCCTCCCGCCGCCGGGCCCCGGCCGTCCGGGCCAGGAGGGAAGCCGAGCGCGGGGCCCAGGCTGAGGCTGCGACCTGAGTTGCGGGGGGGGGGGATGCGGGCTCCCCGGGAACCAGCCCACCCTCTGTGCAGGGGCAGGGAGGGCTGAGCGGTCCAGGCCCCGCCGTTTTCCCCTCTGCCTGGGGGCTCTCGGGGTTGGGGGGGGCGTCTCAAGGGTGCACGAGGTTCTCCCCACAGCACAGGGCTTCCCCGCCTTCCCATTTCAGAAAGAAGGGGGGGTGGGCGGAAGGACACAAAGAGAGGCTGAGACTCTCAGCCCTTCCCCACTGGGACCCCACCCTGCTGTGGAGAGAGGGGAGCCCCCTCGGGTGCACGTGGGCTGGTGCGGCCTCTGGGAGGCATTCCACCTTGACCTCACGTCAAGACCACCCGTCCAGCCCCAGCGCCACAGCGCGGCCCTGCCATCGGGCCAGCCGGGACCCGGAGAGGCCAGGAGACTCATCCCCAGGCCCCCAAGTGTCCAAGGCTGAGTGGGGGCCCGTCCATGAGTTGGTGGAGCGGGCAGGCGGCGGTGGCCCTCACTCTCCTTTTCCTCCTGTCCTCCTGCTGCCCTGCTCCGTCCGCTGTTCATCCGCCCGCCCCCAGCTCTGGCCAAGCCTCGAGGGGCCCGGCGGGTCACCGCGAGCCCTGGGTCCCTGCCAGGTGAGAACTCGGACAGGCACAGCCCACATCACGGGGTCCGGGCTAGCCTGGCAGAGGCCTGGGGCAGCCCAGAGAGCCGGCCTGGGAGCCGCAGGGTCGGTCCAGCTGCCTGGCACCCAGCCTCTGAGCCCAGCAGGAGCCTCCAGCCCCCGCCCCCCGCCACCAACGAGTTACCCGGGCAAGAGCAGCACGGAGCGAGGCCGGGCAGGGAGTGACCGCACGTGGGCCTGCAGCCCACAGAGACACATGGGGAAGGGAGTTAGCCCGGGGACAGTGAGGCCACGTCGTGTGGGCTGCTCTGTGGTCGTCCGAGTTCAGAGACCGGATCCATCCCCCGAGGGAGGTTGCTGCTCTGGGAGTGGGAGGGACCAGCAGGTGACTTCCTTTTCTGCCCAGGCCTGCGTGGTGGCCAGGCCGGCCCATCCCGAGGCTCAGAGCCCCACTGAATGCCCCCCACCCCTGGGGTGAGACCGGGGACAGAGCTGCTGCACCCCACCAACTTCCCAGGCCACTGGGAGGCCAAGCTGGTCTCAAATGAGAGCCCGGGACGTGAGGAGGGCTCAGGAGGCCTGGAGGCTCTAACCACCCTTCTTCCCTACCCCCATCTCTGCAACCGAGCAGTCAGCCACCCAGTGGCCCCCCACCCCGATGCCCCAGCCCCCCACCTGCCCACACTGGCTCCCGGTCCACCTGCTCTGACCGTATCCAGGCGGGGCCGATCTCGTTTCTCTGCTCTGAACTTCTAGAACCTTCCCAACCTAAGAAAGCTGGACAGACCACCCCGTGCAGGCTGGGTTCCCACACGCAAACTAAGGAAACCCTTCCTGGGAGCCCAGGGGTCTGTCCCGCACAGAACACAGCACAGACACGTTGCACACATGTGAGTGATTGCATGTGTGACTACGAGCACGTCATCCGCTTCTAGCCTGGCCCTGAGAGGTGGGCCCCGGCGTGCACAGAGAGGGGCCTGACCAGGACGGCTGGGACACCCACTTTCCGCTCCCTGCCCCAGGCCTGCCCCCACTCCCATCTCTGAGCCTCCGCCTCCCCATCCGTAAACACAGTCAGGACCTGGGTAAGGGTGAGGTCAGAGCATGGGGACATCCATCAGGCCCCTGTGGATGGAGAGCCCGCGTCCCTGCCCAGACCCAAGAGGGGACACTGGCAGGTGCAGACCTCTGGCCACGGGCTGTGTCATCACACTGCCCCCTGCCCCATGCCCCTCGAATGCACCTGCTCAGAGGACCGGCCCAGCTGCCAGGGTCCCAGGAGCGTCACTTAAACTGGCTTCGCTTTTTGGGGCATCGAGCCAAAGGACAGAGCCAGCCAGCGTGGGAAAGAGAAGGCTTTCCCTTGTAACAAGTAGCAAAACACCAGGGACGTTTCCCAGAGCTGCTTCCCCCAGAAACAATCTTGGGGAGTCTTAGGTTAAGGGCACTCGCATGTAGAGGGAGGGGCTCGTGCGATCCAGAATTCAGCACGGAATTGGGCAAAGCCGTCCTGAGCGGGCAGAGCGCAGGTCCCAGCTGAGCAAGGTCACGAGGCTGACGGGCCGGCCTCTGTTGCCCGCGCCCCCATTGATCCGGGGTGTGGGTGCTCAGCGGGGTTCACTCAGGAACGTGTCAGGTCTGTCTGCACTTCTGAACGGGCGCTGGCATATTGCCCCTGAAATAACGAGGCTGTCCCGCCTGGGAGTGCCTGTCTGTCCGCACCTTCGGTTCCCTCGAGATCCCTCCGCCCTCGGGTCTGTCCTGCAATTTCAGCATCTCCACGGCGGCTCTGCAAGGACGTGCTCAGGCGAGCGGTGCCGGGTGGGTGCAGACCCCGACGTGGCCGGGGCCCCTGTGTCCTGGAGACAGGGGGACCCCAGGCCTGAGAAGGCCACCAGACCCACGCTGACCCTTGGTCGCCGTCCCCCGTCCGCCCCACAGATCACTGGAGCTCCTGTTCGCCAGTGGCCAGAGCAACAAGCTGCTGTACGGCGACCCCCCCAAGTCCCCGCGCGCCACACGCAAGTTCTCGTCGCCACCGCCCCTGTCCATCACCAAGACGTCGTCGCCGAGCCGCCGGCGGAAGCTGTCCCTGAACATCCCCATCATCACGGGCGGCAAGGCCCTGGACCTGGCCGCCCTCAGCTGCAGCTCCAACGGCTACACCAGCCTGTACTCGGCCGTGTCGCCCTTCAGCAAGGCCACGCTGGACACCAGCAAGCTCTACGTGTCCAGCAGCCTTGCCAACAAGATCCCGGACGAGGGCGACACCGCCGCTGAGAAGGCGGAAGAGCCCGTAGCTCTCAGTAAGCAGAGTGAGTGGATGCGGGGCGAGCCCCCCCCAGCCCCGCCCCGCCCCCGCCTTCACCCCGCCCCCTCGGTCCTGCCCCTGCAAAGTGATCTCACAAGGGGCTCCTCAGCCGGCGATCGAGGAGCCCCTGAACCCGACTGACTGTGCACAGGTCGTGTGCGTGCGCGTGCGTGCAGACGCTCGTTTCTAAAGAGAAGACCTGCCTGGGTCTCCAAACGGTCGTGGGTAATTTCACTCACTTTCCAGCTGGGGAAGCTGAGGACCAGATAGGTTAAGAATCTTTGACCAAGATCTCACTTTTAACACAATTCATCACTTTCCTCCAAAGCGTGTAAACCACGAGTGTGCTAAGCTTGGGGAGACTGTTAAGTTGTTGCCGAAACCAGAATATTTGTGACCGGGAGTGTCGGGCGCAGAGCAGGGCTCCCTGGTCTGCGGAGCCGATGGTCACCCTGAGACGCTTCACGCCCACACGCGCGCACACGTGCACATACGGACACGAGCGCACACAGGCATGCGCACTGAGCAGACACGCACACACTCATGCACACATATGTGCACACAGGTACACACTCGGACACACCGACACACACATGCACACACGTGGCGGCACAGGGCACAGCCCCTTGCCGCTCAGAGTGTAGTCTGTGACCGGCCTCTTGGGCTTTCCCTGGGGGCGCTTTGCAGCCCCTCCACCAGGGCTCACATCCAAACGAGTCCTGAGTCCCCATCAGAGCCCACGAGAGGCCGACCAGCCCGGGGAGAAAAGTGCGGTCTTGGAGACTCCCTACCCCCGCGGGCGCAGGAGGGGCCCCACAGCCCCCACGGCCCCAGAGCCGTCCCACCTCCGCTGGCGGGCAGGTCCCAAACCCGCTCCGTTCCGCTTCCACCCGTTAGAGGCCTGGACTTCCGGACGAGGGACGGCTGCCCACACGTGACATCATTCCTTCTCTCTCCAGCCTCAGAAGTCTCGGTGAGGGAAGAGTCTGACAACGACCAAAACCAGAGTGACGATGGGGACACCGAGGCGTCACCGACCAAATCGCCCACGACGCCAAAGTCGGTCAAAATCAAAAATTCCTCAGGTACAGCTCAGCCCCGGGACGTCACAGTCAGATCCCGGGAGGACGCAGGGGCCCCAGCCGGGGGAGGGGGTGGTCTCGCTAGTACAGGTGAGGGACAAGGGACCCTGCGTGCAGGACCACTGCCAAGCGTCACAGCCCACGGGGCGACGGCGGGGCTCGGGCCACTCCGCCCAGCAGGGTCACCCAGACTCCAGACGAGACGATGCGCCGACACCGGAGGGGCCGGCGGGGTGGGTGGGCTCGTCCTCGGGGTTCAGGGGCCAGGTGGTCCCAGTTAACCGACCGAGGTCCCCACACGAGCCCTTGCTCACCTCACATCCCAGGACGGCCCCTCCCGCCCCGGCCCACGGACCCCCTGCCGTCCAGACCGCCCAGGGAGACCCTGTAGGTCCACGGCCACCCGGCCCTGGGCCCACGGCCATGGCTTCTCAGACTGACCACACTGCAAACATCAGAACTGAGTCTGGAGCGTTTGAAGGAAGCCACTCGCTTCCTGCAGCACGAATACCGCAAGCTCGTCCTGACTGTGTCCTGCTGTCCAGAGACCCGAAGAGGATGGGACAGGTTTCCAGAGTCAGGGCTGTGGCTGCTACCGCTAACACTAAGCGTTATTTGGCCCAGGCGTTTCACGGTGTGAGGCCATGGACTTGCGGCCACGTCCTCTCCTCTAATGGGACACCCACTGCTCAGAGTGGATGTTACTGTCCCTACTGCGCAGAGACGAGGGACTCAGGGTAACTAACACATGCAAGGCCACCCAGCGAGCCAGGCCTCGCTTCGCCCCATTGTGCCCGTGAGCCCATCCCCCACCCATCACGCCATCGTGCCCGTGAGCCCGTCAGCTGCTGGACAGGTTACGTGTTCATCCCTAATAGCCCGAGAGCGTAAGGAAGCTCATGATGCTGCTCCCAAGCAGCACAGGCCGGCCGGGCCCCAGGGGGTAAAGCAGAGCCACGGACAGGGCGCGAGCTGGGGGCTGCCGCAGACCAGCGCGGCTCCGCAGAGAAGACAGAGGGAGGCAGGGGCTTTCCCTACCCCAAGACGGCCCAGGGGAATGGCCCCCCAAGGGGGATCGCTTGCCCCCCGGGGGACGTGAGCAGGGGAATGGCCCCCCACCTCCGCCTGCTAAACCCCGGGGCCCGTGAGGACAGGCTGGTTGTCCTGGGGCTGCTCTGGTATGGGGACCCCCGGTTCTCTGGCAGCCGAGGGAAGGCTGAGGGTCGGTTCCATCCCCTCCACAGAGTTCCCCCTCTTCTCCTACAACAACGGGGTCGTCATGACCTCGTGTCGGGAACTGGACAGCACGCGCAGCGCCCTGTCAGCGGCTTCTGCCTTTGCCATCGCCACGGCGGGAGCCAACGAGGGTGCCCCTAACAAGGAGAAGTACCGCAGGATGTCCCTGGCCAGCGCAGGTACGCGGGAGGGGTCTGCTCCCTCTGCGGGCACAGCCCAGCCGCAGCCCTGGACAACGCCCACCCCCCCAGGTGTTCAGGGCTTGCTGCCCCTGGGCCTGGCCAGCACTGACCCCCGACCCGAAGGCCCCACCCACCGGCACAGCAGCGGCCCGGCTGACCCAGGCCCAGGGCTTGGATCCAGACAAGCGCTGAGCCCCATTTCTTGTTCTCCTGTACCCTCTGTCCCCTGTGCCGCAGGGTTTCCCCCTGACCAGAGGAACGGGGACAAGGAGTTCGTGATCCGGCGAGCGGCCACCAACCGGGTCCTGAATGTGCTCCGCCACTGGGTCTCCAAACACTCTCAGGTGGGTGGGCGCCCCCCATGCTGGCCCCCGGGAGCCACTGCCAGGACCGTGAGCAGGACGGCCTCGGGGCAGCGGGAGGGGGCCTAGGGGCCGCTCTGGTGCCTCCCCTGGGAGGGCACTAAGGACATTCCAGGGCCCTGGGGCCTGTGTCCGTCCACCTCTCTGCAGAGGGAACCAAGTACGTCTGCACCCCCAGGGTCCTGGCCTTGGGGCACAGCCAGCCAGGAGCTGACCCCTGGTCTTGCCCAGAGTTTTACACCTAAGGGTCTCTAGGCTCCCCTGGTGCCTGCCCACACAGCCAGGGCAAAGGAAGACAAGGCAGGCGGCCCCCTGCGTGTGGCGGGACCAGGGGGCCAGCTCCGGGCAGCCTGAGCAATGGCCAGAGCCGCTGCCACATCTCCCCCGCACAGGACTTCGAGACCAACGATGAGCTCAGATGCAAGGTGGTCAGCTTCCTGGAGGAGGTCATGCACGACCCAGAGCTGCTCACCCAGGAGAGGAAGGCCGCAGCCAACATCATCAGGTCTGGGCAGCCCCGGCCCCCTGGGCACGGCTGCTGCATGGGGGCCCAGCCTTGTCCCCACATGGCTGGCCAGGGGCAGGGAGCCAGGGAGGGCTTCCCTCCAGGTGGGCGGGCCTCAAGCAGTTGTGTGGGTGTCGGGGGGCCTGAGCCAGCGGAGGGCCGTGTGCCCCGTTTCTGCGGACGGGCCCCCGGGCAGGCATCTGTAT